ACCCATATATGTCTGATTTCTCACTGTGAACTCATGAACTTATCACGCTGAACAGTGCATGGGCTGGGACACAGGCAGGCAGGAGGATAAGGAAGTATTCTTTGTGAAAGACTATGGAGCCATCAAAACACATTTCACATCCCACCAGCTATGGGCAGAACAATTGACACAGGTGATAGTTAATATTTTCTTTATCCTTTTCTTTAGGCTTGGATCTACTTTAATCTTTTTTTCTCTGTTGTTGACATTCTGTGTAAATCAAAAGACTCTTTGAGAGTTTTGAACTCATTAAAACAAACAGAACTGAAAGGGTAGGTACCTGCAAGTGGGGCTTTGTAAACAGGAATAAAATAACAATGCTGCATGCATCCGAGAGAAAACACATTTTGACTGCAGACAGGTGCATCATTTGTTTACTCAGCCCATTGTTAAGCTTTTTGGTTTTGAAGAGGCTTTAGAAAAGTGGAGACGCTTTTATTCATGGTACTCTCTCAAACCTTCAGATTTTCTATGCTAATACTTTGTAAAAATCTGTCAGTAATTACTTCAAGGTGAATGCTTTTCCTTTTTTGAAAGTTTATTGACTGTATTCTGTATACAATGACATTATGTATCTTGTTTTGTTAGTTTTATTCAAGGACTTCAGACTACGAATTGCCTTGTTATGAAATGATGTGAATATAAGAGGAGTCTTGACTGTGGTCTCACATGTTTTGTCCTCACAGGAATAATTCTATTGACTCTAAGCAAAGCAGCATTGACTTTTACTCAGTTCAGACACAAACTTCAGATATTTACAGTATCTCAGTTTCTCACTGCACTGAGTTCTGCGTGCTGTCTCACAGCACAGCTTCATCATTTTACTTTTTCTTATTGTATCACAGTTTCTTTATTTCTTTGTTTGTAACACTTGTTTAAAATAAAGGTCTTACAAGTATTTAAGTTTCTGAATTTGTATTTCTTTATACTATTTTGCCTGTGCTCATAAGGTTGTGATAACAGTCTCACTTTTCATCTATACTGTGCATATTTTTTTATTTGGACTGTTCTAATACTCAGAGACTTCAGCTGGGATTCCAGCCCTGTTCTGAGGTCACCAGGTTAACAGAAATGAAGATTGCTCCATGCATCTCCACGGCCCTTTCTGCACCTTTCCCCAAAGGCAGCTGTTTGACAGGAAAGTAAAACCAGTTTCATTTAGTCTGTAGATAACTTTGGCTTCATTTACAAACACTACGCCAGTATTGGTTAAAAATCAGCTGTGACTATTATGTCCTTGTTACTGCACTAAACCTCTTTACTGATTTCTGTGCATCCTTTGCATCAAATCTTGTCTTATCATAGATTTTGCAGCTGCAAAGGCTAGATTGGATCTATCTTTAAGTTCATGATTTTTAGTTTTCCTTCAGATAGAAAAGTCTTTCTTTCCTTCCATTGATATGTCAGGGTCAAGTAACTTACTTAAACCAACTTGTATGGATGGAATTAATGCTGAGCAAATTGAGCATTTACATTATTAGCTACTTGATTTCCTGCTGCAATCAGGTAATTAGATACCTAATTTATAGACTTTATATAACCAACTTAATTCTCTCAGCTGACCACGAATAAAAATTTCTGGATGGAAAAAATGAAAGTCATTAAAACAACAACAACAAACAGAACAAAACATAAAACCAATCCCCGCAGACAGCTTCCTGGTAAACTGGGATGATTTCATGCCTTTATTCCTAAAGTAATAATCATAGAATCACTAAATGGCTTAGTTTTGAGGAGACTTTAAAGATCATCTAGCTCTAACCCCCCTGCCACAGGCAGGATTGCCAGCCATTAGATTAGGCTGCTCAGGGCACCATCCAACCTGGTCTTGAATGCATCCAGGGATGAGGCACCCACAATCTCTCTGGAAAACCTGTTCCAGTGTCTCATCACCCTCTGAGTAAAAAAATTCTTCCTAACATCTTACCTAAATATACCCTGTTGTAGTTTAAAACCATTCCCCCTTGTCCTGTCATTATCAGACCATGTAAATATTTAGTTCCCATCCTGCTTATAAGCTCCCTTCAAGTACAGGAAGGCAGCATGAGATCTCCCCATATCCTTCTCTTCTCCAGGCTAAAAAAGCCCAGCTCCCTCGCCTTTCTTCACAGGAGAGGTGCTCCAGCCTTCATCTTCTTTTTGGCCCTCCTCTGGACCCACTCCAACAGAGCTGCATCCCTCCTGTACTGGGGGCCCCAGGTCTGGACGCAGTGCTCCTGATGTGGACTTACAAGGGCAGACCAGAGGGGGACAATCACCTCCCTCTCCCTACTGGCCATAATAATTGACTGAAATTTATTTTCCATATATTCTCACTAGAATCAGAATCAGATGAAGAATAATGAGGTCTACTACCACTGCTCTTCAGACTGCTGTTTCAGGTGACTGAATATAGCATAATTTTCAGAGAAATGATCACCTCCAACTCCTTAGTATGGGAGATTTTCTACCTTCTTCATCAAGCTTAATATTGCCCACAGTCCCAAAAGACACTTTAGAAAGGATTTAATTAGCAGTTTTTCTAGCAACACCAGCAGAGGTGTCAAAAGGTGAAACTGCTGTATTTTCAGTGCCCAGCTTTTCCTCTGAAGATGGGCATTTTGAACAAGAGAAATCACAATGCATACATCGTAGTGGCCAATGCATGTTTTGAGAAATCAGAAGGTTTTTACAATGTTTATCCTGCATTTATGTTAACGAGGGACAATTTCCAAAGCCCAAATACAGCCACAATACAGGAGTTTTCTATTCTGAGAAGTTAGTTTTGCTTGAAATGGAAGAGGGTAGGAATCACGTATGGAGGGAGCTAGAGTTGCCAATCCTTACAATTAAGCAAGTCCTTCTGTTTGCACTGCAGTAAATCTGGTAGTAAATAACTTTACAGATTCCTTTTCAATCTGAACACAGTCTTCTCCTTTTGCTTTGGATTCCCAGTAGCATTATTTCCACTCTTTTCAATGGTCTTTTAGTGCAATGAGTCACTTTGAACTATGACACATGTTTTAGTGCTACCACTAAAGTTTGTGCTTTGCCTTTCCTGTAGATTAATTAGGTACTTCAGCATTTAAGTACCTTCCACAAGCAGTAAAACCATATACTGTTATCTTAAAAGCTGATGATAACAGCAACAATAAAATGTGACTGGGAACCCTGATGCTGCTTGTTGTGGTTTCAAAACACACAGGTCAGTTGGATGTTGACACAATAGGGATTTACTTCTGCACTCAAATCTGCTTAATTTTATCCTCTAATTCTATCCGGCATGAGAAAGAAACGTATTGATTATCTGGTTTTAAAGACAATCAATGCTCTAACAAGTACATGCCTCAAAAGCTTCATCAGAATTATCAAATAATTAAATATTTTCTGCAACCTTGAATGCTATGTGAAGTATCTTCCTTTACAGGTCAGTGGTCATGCACTTCTTTATGACCGAGCCCTTAGGAATTTTATATTTTACTTTACCTATGATTTACTCTTCCAGCAGTAACTCTGAAATGTGATTTAATGCTTGTTCTACTACCCTTCACTGAAGGCTGGGACATAGTTTGACTATTTCTCCGTCCTTATGAAGTGACACATACATTTAAAAAAGTCATAGACCAAACAGATTTGTTGCCCAGTGTGGCTCCTCAAGAATTTAAGATATTGATAGCAACGGGGTAACAGGCAAAAAGCAAACCAGCTATTGCCAGGGACTGAAGTAATTGTGAGAAGTCCTGTACAGTGGTGAAGGGATGAGGGGTGAATTTCTGTTGTGTGCATATATTGTCCTCCTGTGTGTGTCGTGATGATGTTCTTTAATTTTAATGTGGAGATTTTTTGTTGTTGATGTAAATGAAACTTGTAACATGTGCTGAATGTATATTTTAATGACAATTTGGCTGAGTAATACCTATAACTAAACTACAAAAGAGGATATTGTCTATTGAATTTCAGCAGTTTAAAGGGCTCTAGCTCTTATTTATTCCTTTGAAAAATATACAGCCTTATTATTCTGAGTATATTTTGAGGAAAGAGGAAACTACCATTTAAATCTATGGATTTACACTAATGTAAAAATGGATGAAACAAGTCCCAGGATGATCTACTTCCCATTTACAAATTCTACCCACACTATAACCTCCATCAGAATATAAGTGGTTGGAAATGGAAATTTTGTCTTGTTACCCTTTACTATCCTCTACTGTTGACTCGTGAAGGTGTCAAGGGGAGTATTGTGCATACACATTTGTGCTGATGGGAACACATGGCTGCTTTTGAAAGGGGTGGCTGCTCAGGGTCTGCACATACTGATCAGATGGCTGACAGCTGCTCCTGCTGCTTTTCCTTTTTATTCAGGGCTCCAGCACAAGAACTGGACTGTGAATACTGAGCTATTAGTGTTGCCTCACGAATGCTGAATGGATGGTATTGATTTTTTGAAAAGATGTTTGGAACAGTAATAAAAATAAAAAAATCAAGTAAAAAATGATGAGGCTTTACAGATAGCCAATAAAAGACTCCACAACAAGTTAGTAAACTCTTGGGCTATTCAACCTTGACAATGTCCTTTTCAATCTGAATCCAATCTTGCCTCCATGCTTTGAGCAGCTAGCTGCATTTGTTTTCACCCTCATGATGCAACACTGGCTCAATGAGCCGCCCTGAGCAACAGCTTGCACTTTCATACTGTCACAATCTACCAAGTCACCCTGCAGGAGTAGAGAAAGAAACGTGCAAGGGAAGACCTGGAGTAAATGATAAAAGTCCTGTTCATCAGAAGGAACTTCTAAAGTCAATGGGAGCTCATGGCATGTGGCAGCTGTGAAGCCAGACCCCTTACAGACTTCTGATGCTCTTCCCAAGCACACACACGCACTGTGCTTTCCTAGACCTTCTGATTTGCAGTGTTTGATTTACTCCATGAACCGGTGAAAATAACCCACTCATTTTTATTACAAATTTTATTATCCAACTAATATATATTTTTAAAAATACAATTGCAAAGCAGTTGTTGAGCACAGTGGTTTAAAAATGTAATTTAACTTTTACTGTGAGGTGATAATCCTTAATGATAGCCAAACCTGACACATAACCACTCAGTACCTTTCAAAATAAAAAATGAATTATCCAGAATTAAATACTTGAAAGATTTTCGTAATGGAAGTCCCTGAAGAAAACTGACCCTCAGCATCTGAATATTTCATTATTTCTGACACAAGGGACTTAAAAATCACTTCAATTTAAAAGCAGATTAATTAGTCTAATTTTAGCTCATTACACTAACGTAAAATCAGAGCAAGGCAGTTATAAATTAGGCCAAATATTTCTAGAACTACTTGCTAAGATAAAAAAAAAATAAAATGGGCAATATGGTCTTTGTTTACTGACAGATGCTAATACCACTGAGTACATGAGATAACATCTTTTCCTAAAGGAGTTCTACCACATTTACTGGGAATGATTGGAGAGTAAGTTATACTACTGTAAAAAATATAGCACTAAGTTACCAATATCTGGCTGTGTGTTTGTACGATGCCCTCTGTGATAAGCTTCCTATATGGATATTACAAAAACATACATAAGAAACAAAAAATGCTCATGAGTTTTGAAATATAACTGAAATATTGAGATAATATCAATTTAATAAAATGATCAGTGGGAACCTCAGTAACCCATTTTGTTTCAACTACTGCTAGCTGTTTTAGTCTCCCAGTTGAATACAAATCAGTGGCACAAATCTATTCAAATAATCTCCGAAGAAAAGACTTTTTCACTGGTGTGGTTAACTTCATGGTTTTCTTTTTGTGCAGTCGTTTCATGGGTTGCTTTTTCAGATGCACCGCCTTTTTGGGAGTTTGCAGCCCTTTATTAAGGTCAACATGCTCATTGCAGAAGTACTTGACATTTGCTTCGGAGAGCCGAAGGAGCATGCTCTCTGACAGATCCATACACTGTGCATGAACCCAATGGCCAGACCCACTGGAACACAAAATCATTGCAGGCTTGTTGAGTTCTGTTGAATAGAAAGGCACCCAGGTGTTAATGTCAATATTGCAGCTGGCACAGCAGATGATCCAGTACCCTGTTTCTGATTCATCTTCTTCATCGTCTTCATTGTAAGTATCAATGTCATCAACATCAAAGCTACTGGCTTCAGCACTAAAAGAAAACTCTTCGGAATCTTCAAATGGAGTGGAGTCTCCTTGGTCTTCGGTAGATGCCTGACTGCATGCTTGTGATGTCAATTCTTCTTCTTCATCCTCTTCTGCTCTGTTGCATCTCAAAATGTAGAAGTAGTTTGCATCTGAGATTAACTGTTTGTTGGCCCCAGGAATACCCAACAATATGGACCCTTTGCCCATATCACAGCCAAACCACATCCTACAGTGTTTAATATCGGGTGTCCAATCTGGGCTTGCCCTTTCAACAATCTCTATTTTATTATTTTCCAAAACTATGGTGTTACAGATCATCCGTTTCTGGTTGTCAGACTGGTAGCCCCCAACAAGGACGAATTCAGTATCACCAGTCTGAGTCACAATACCACTCGACACAGATATTCCCCCTGGCAAGATAGAGCAGGTCACAGCTGGGCTGCCCAGCGGGAGATCGACTTTTAGCTTGTAAAGGCTGGGAGGCCGGGTGTTATTTTGAAGTGAATGGCCTCCCAAAATGTAGATTGTATCATTCCTGGCAACTGAAACATGAAAGGAAAGTCCATCTTGAAGCTCTGGAAGTATGTATGACGTACAGCATCCAAACTCAAAATCAACAAGAAACACAAATGGCAAACAGTCAACTACACTATTCCATTTTTCAGTAATTCTCTGTGCAAGAGGAATATATGATCTACCTCCAAATATAACAATCATGCTTTTTCCCCGGCTATGAACTACATTAATTGTATGCCCGTATCTAGCTTCAGGGACATCTCCATCTAGATCTTTCTCAGTGCATTGAAACGTGGTTTTCTTGGTAGTTTTGTTTACCACCTTCATAATGTAAACCTTATCAGAAAGATCATTGTTAGGTGTTTTCCCACCATGAATAATGTACTGGTGCTTATCAGACTCCCCATCGCTTCTAAGCGTGCAAATAGCTGGGTAGCGGAGCGGGGGAAGGTAACAGGAATCCCTAGAGAAGGCAGCAGGTTTCATTTTGAGCTCATTCTGCTTTATATCAAGGAAGAAAACACCCGTGGGACAGGATCTCTTCGGCCATCCTTTCTGCCCAAAAAAGAAGACGTGTCCATCAAAATTCAGCAGGGAAGAACCTGGCTGAAGCAAGGATGAATTGCTGACAGCCGATACCATCTGCAGTGACATCGCATCTGCTGGCTGGGTCATCCTGCAGTATCTGAGGCAAACAACACAAAAGAAAGATGTTTTGAACACTCGGAGAGTATCTGCTTGAACAAGTGGCATTAAAATTGCACGTCAGTTCTCTCATCATTTAAACTGCATGCCAGTTATGCGGAATTTTGAAAAAATAATGAAAAAAAGGTAATATTTACAAGCATAACGCTTGCTTTCGTGGCTGCTGGCCAGCCTTACTGCTTCCACTCGAGCAGAGCAGTAAAGGCCGCGCTGCGGGTGCGGGGCTCCCATGGAAACGCCGGCCCCAGGGCTTGCTGGGGCCGGTAGTTTGCCTTCGGCGGCTCTACCAGCCTCGTCTCCGAGGCCGCGCTGGGTCTGGCGGGCCGCGGGCGGTGAGTGGGCCGCAAGGGCCGGGGCCTTTCCGCATCGCTGCCGTCAGCGGGCGGGCCCGCCGCCGACTGCTGGCAGAAGGCGGGTGCTTGTGCGGGGCGTGCGGCGCTGGGGCGGTGGGGGGGAGGCCCGTAACACGCGGGTTCCGCTGTGCTCTCCTGGGCTCCCCGGTCAGTGGGACCGGCCTCCTTAGGATGAACAGCATGCGTGACTGCAAGGCAGACGTCAAGATTAGCGGAAGACGTGTCGGAGCAGTCGCGGCCAGCCGTGTTTCTAACCGTGTTAGTGCCGCACGCTGCTGGCTCTATTTAGGATCGATGGGCTGACTGCCCCATGCTTTTGTCTTGCCGTCACGTTCATCTTGGGGATTGCAGCTTGGATTTGTCATGTTGTATGCTTTCATGAGTAGGTTCCAAGCTGTTTTTTTTTTTTTAAAACATGTTTGTCCGAAAACCTACAGTAGTTAATGCAGTCAGCCTGCGCAGTAACACTGCTCGGGAGAGCAAAGATGCCAGGGAGGAAACCAACTGACCAGTCTGTAGTGACAGCAGAGCTCTGCCTTTCAGTCACTGCCCAGTGCTTGGGTGCAGCCTTTGCCAAACCTGCGTAATTTAAAGCTGTGAGCTAGCTTCAAAGTGAAGAATTTGAAGAAAAAGCCCTGCCAAAAGACTCTCCGCATTTTGAAATACAGTTTCTCTTTTTGAATTCTTTAGGATTTATGTTTTTGTTGTGCCTGGTTTTTATTTTGCTGTAATAGCAAAAGCAAGAAACAGAGGATTCCTTCTTTAAGGAAGGATGAGTATCGTCTAGCGGTGTGCCATCAAAATCTGGGGATTCCAGAACAGCAGCACTTACAGCAAGATTCATGGTGGGGCTGATTTGTGGGACTGATGACGCTAGCTACTTCAAATTTGCTTGAAGAGAAATTTGCCAAATTGTTTACATTCAGATGAGATGCCAAACAGAAATCTTTGCTGCTTGTTTCTTACAGCTATTAAAAAATGTTCTTTTTAGAGGAGTAAGTTTGGGTTTACTGGGCTGTATTTCCTGTCTTTCCTACTGTGTGGTTATGTAGCTTCTTTGTTTTTATGGTCTTTAGTAAAGTAAATGAACTTCCATACTGAGGATGCCATGAGCACACAATAAGTTAGGATTATGGTATTTTCCTACTGGTTTGTTTTTGAAATCGAATGAGTATTAAAATGGCAGATAGTTTAATCAACATGTTGACAGTGTTGAGTTCTTAAGTGTATACTATCCAGAGAAACTGTTGGAGATAGAGTGGAGAAAAGACCAATTAAGATAATTAAGATAAAAATGAGATTGATAGATATACAGAATGTACTGGTTAAATAAAACACACTCAAAAGCATTTCCTTCTTGTCACTGCTTAATATTCCTTGGGCTTTAAATAAGTAATCAGTTCAGTAAGTGAAGGAGAGAATCTTTATCCTGGATTCTGTGACAGCAGTAGTTCCTTAGGCCCTTGCTGGGATTGTTTTGTCTTTCTGGGTTGTTCCATGCTACTTAAAGTGTGTTCACGTTGTGTGGCTGATCTTGGGCTGTGCTGATTTCCATTTCCAAGCTATTACTAACATGACATAAAAAAAATCTCCAAAACAACACCCATATTCATGTTAATTTCACAGTAATTGGAATGTTGCCAAATAGTGAATGATTAGATCTTAGGAACTGCAGCAAACCAAAAGCACCTTTCAGTTATAAAATAAGGTATTTGAACAGCACTGATTAGACATGGAGAGAAAACAGATTGCATGATAGCGTGAAGTCTTAGTTGGTAAATGCTGCTTGCTGACCATCAGATTCTGTCATTAGTTTGTAATTATTTGTAACTTGGCAGGAACACAGTTATCTACAGTACATTTAAATTTGTTTTGCAATATTATATACTTTTTCTTTTCCTCTGACTGATCTGTAGGGTCTCCTTTTGCAAAGCAGCAAGCAAGTGCTCTTTCCAAATTCTTCAGAATTGAGATAATATCCAGACACCTGCAGAGCTTTGAAGTACTCCATAAAGAGGATTAAGAAAGCAATTGTTTTGAGAAATAGTATTTAAAAAATTTCATACGTGCATCAACCAAGCTTGTCTCTGGGTAAAACAATAAGTCAGACGTACCTGGCTGATGGAGTGCTTTTGTGTCTTCCAAAATCTTTCTCTGTAATTGAGATTCAAATGTGAGCACTTTGAGGAATCTTCTCTGACAGCACAGGGGCTTGTGGCATGGAGGGGAATCTATCTGCTCAATTTGCAGATGTGTTCCTGAGAACTCAGTCTACTGTGGCTAACTGGCTGTGACCGTTTTTTTTTCTTTCTTTTTTTTTTCTTTTTCCTTTCCTCTCTTGTCTTCAGATGGCACAACAAGAAACCCACCAGCCTTTGGGAGCTTTGCAGCTGAGCTAGTCGAACAATTGTTAAAGCTTGGAGCATGCACTTCTTTGTAGCTTAATTCTTCACTCTGCTTAATCCATCAAGCTTGTGATCATTTTTGGAACTTTTTTAGTGCCAGTGTACTGTAAAATACAAGCTGAAGTAATTTTTTTGTGTGTGTTCAGAGGTATACTAATTTCTATGTGTAGTAAAAGAATGAGTGAGGACTGGATTTCCAGTCCAAAGTCCATTGAAGTCAGTGACCCTCTGATTAGATCTTAAAGAATGAAAAATTTTCTCCCTTCTGTGCATTTTTCATCAGATTCACAGAGCTTTTCTTCAAGTTAGACTCTGCAAAGTGCTATGGGAACATATCCTTTCAGCAGGCAGCAGTACTGGGGCACAGAGGATAAACCACTTGTATAACATAGCACAGCAAGTAAACTGAAGAACCAAGAAAACAATTCACTCTTCATAGCTCTTTGCTTCTGTTTCCTTGAACCTCACTCACTCCTGAGTTACAACATCTGCCACGCAGTATTTTAGAAATGCTCCATCTCCCATTTGAAACTGCAGGGAGAACAGAAATAAGAACAGCTTGTAGTGGAATTTGGTTTGTACAGGAAAGCAAACACACCCAGTGTTTGTGAAAAATCACCTTGAGACATTGAAAAACTGTAATGCAGCTAGGATGTGGTAGAGTTTCTCATTTGAAATATAGCAGTTGTAAGGCACTGTGCCCTGTATTGTCCACATGGGTCTATTAGTTCTCTAGCAAAACAAAGTATAAAGGAAAACGTACTGCAAAGTTCAAGGCCAGAGTACTTAGCTTCGCCCATAACTTAAGGATATTCAGATCAGATGTATCGGTATTTTCAGTAGTGCTTAGATGATGTTTGACAGATTTGTATCGAGCGCTTCACATAGTCAAACCCTTGTTTGGATCTGAGATCAAAAGATCTACTGGCAAAAGAGATACAAATATTTAAGATAAAATCCAACCTCCACTTGTCTTGTTTAATATTTTATATTCATTTCATTCTCCTTTTGCTACTTGATGTGTCTTATCTCTAGAAATTCTTTTTCTAATTACTGTGGATGAGAAAACAGAGAAATTAAAGTTTGTTGGCAACATCATGTTGGTTTTGGATGAGGATGTGTTCTGTCCAAAATGGTCTTCTGTAACTGTCAGTGACAAACTGTTTTGGAAGAGCTGCAAGCAGCCAGTAGCTTTGGAATAACATATCTACAAAGAAAAATCATGTTCGGAACTGTGCAGTTCACAGCAGGAATATCTAGGGTTTGCAACTTGAAATTATTTGGCAGAGAACCAAGGTGAAAATGAATCAATAGACTTCTTTGCAATTTTCTATTTTAACAACGTTGACATACTATGTTTTCAGCAGATTGCTCATTGTCATGGAGATGCTTTGTTGCATTTCATTTTCTCCTACTACACTTAATTAGGTAATATATGATTTACATTTTCATTCCAAGTGTAGTAGGCGACTGCAACACCCAAGTCATTCCAAGTTGTACTGAGATATTTCCACACCTGTCATTATATTGTCTGCCACTAAACCTTCATCCTTCAGGAGTGGAGATGGCTCTCCGTGGGTTACAGCAACACACTTCAGGGAGGCAATACAGGGGATGCCATCCTACTTGTTTGTGGAAGTAGCCATCCAGGATGCAAATATGTGGCTAGATATTTAGCCAAAACCCAGAGCTCAAACTTGTAGAGGAAGGAAGGCACGGGGAGTCCAGTGTCCTAAAGTCTTCAGTGTTCTGTCTCATCCAAAACCATCAGTAAACAGTGTTTAACATATGAGTTACAGAGCTTTATCTGTAGGGTTGGTTTAAAACAGCTGATTACATCGAGCCCTGCTTTGATGGTAACATACTGGAAGATCACACTGCAGGGGGCGGTGGTTACTGTGCTTCAGTAGTGTTTGGCACAGGAGATGTTACCCTCTGTCAAAGGTCTCTAGGTGGTCTTTAAAGTGCATGTCACTTGTGAAGCAATTGGGAATTCATAAAAACAATAATAATAATAATCAAACAACCAAAAAAAACCCCAACACAACAACAACAACAGAAACCTAAATCCTCTGATCGTGTATGGGACTAACAGAATAGCACTGAAACCGAGCAGGATCAATGTGTTTACTTGCAATTAAAGCTCTTACACATCCTGTAAAATCCTCTGCAAGCTGTGTGTTTTTGACCATCAGGAAGGTCGACTCTGAGGCTTGGTAATGCACTTACATAAGCAGATGCAGCTCCCATTGAAGCAAATTGCTGATGCATTATGTGTGCACCCTTAAGACCTTCTCCTGCTGAAGGCAGTGGCAACCATCCAGCTGATTTAAATAGGATTAGCTGCTGCACATTGCCCTGAATTGAGAGGTGCTGCAAGAGGCATCATTTGAAAGTTTTTGTGCTTTATAATTGAAACTTTTGTTTCTAGCTCATTCCTGTGGCTGTTGTGCCCTGCAGCTGGTGGTGGCCAGGGGTTTCTGCTGTCAGGGTGGATGGGTGGGGGGAAGAGAAGTAGGGCAGGACTGTGGGCAAGAGGTTTTCTTCTGCAACCGTAGCTCTGCAGCTGTTTAGCCAGCAAGGAAACAGCTGACTGCCTTCTGGAGAGTAGGTAACCTTCTGTTCTGCACCACTACAAATGTTTTATGCCTTCCTCAGTGCAGTCAAGAGCCTGCAGGATCACTCCTTTCCCTTGGCCCGCTTTTGAAGTGTCATCCTGGGATGCTTGTATTGTGTCCATATGCAACCAAAAACATTCGAGGACACTGTGACATTGCAGCTTTCCATGCCTCCTTGCTGAAGTAGCCTGGCCACAAGAGTCCCTAAAATTAAGGTCTTTCTAGTGCAGCTCAGTATATGAAACCTTTGAGAACAAGAGCTGCTAGAGAAATGTTTGCTGCTTTGTCCTGTATTGTGGTTTGTAAAAGAGTAAGATTGCATTTATGAGGTGTTAGTTAGATCTTAAGTATTAGAGGCACCTTTGGAAAACGTTAGTTGTGACAAATTGGGTCCTGCACTGGCTGTACATGACTAAAAGATCAGGCATAGTCCAATGGTAACAGCATATAAGATTATATAAGATATTAATAAATTTGTATTTGATCTGATTTGTACATAGTTCATAAAATCTTGAGCACAGGTGTATTTAGTGATAATTTCTGTGAGCCCACAATTTATCACAGTATTTCTGAATATCCTTATTTTAATTGAGAATGCAAGTTCATAGTGTGGCAGCCTGATTACCACCAGAAGTTTTGGAGTACTCAAAAATGCAGGAAAACCATATTTCACTGCACTTTAGAAATTGTTTAATGGAACTAATAACTGCGTAATTGAAATCATGCTAATATTCACTTGATCTGCTCTGTGATTCAGTGCAGAGATTTCTGGTTTGGCTTAAATTGCTGTGAAGAAGGCAGCATTTTGAGAAATAAAATTGATTTTGCACAATCTGCTGATGATCAGCAAGGCTAAATGAATGATCGCCTCAAGAAACCTCATTATAGTAATTTGGATGAATGAGCAGGATTGAGATGCGAAAAGAAGAAATAATAGTTGCTGCTTAAATGAATCACTTACTAATATTTGAGTCCAAATTTAACTATTCAAAGCCAGCACAGGGAGAGAATCACATGTCTTTGCCTTACTTTCTTTGACTCTTGAGTTAATTTGATGCCCTTTTGGAAAAAAAAGGACAGCTTTGGTTTCAGTAGTAGTTACTCTCCATCTGAACAATGTGGACATTTCATTCTTAGAGGTGAGAGTGTATCCAATCCTTAACTGGTGGGTTTATTCCAATCCATTACCGTAACTTAAGATAGCCTATGTTATTTTTTCTTCCTCTTGAGAGTCTTTTGGTCAGCCTGGTTTCATTTGTTTACACTGCAAAACATCTCTGCAGCTGACACATTGTGAAGTTTGTTTAAGAAAGGCCCAGTAATAAAGTAAGTGGGAAACAGCAGAAAACCTAAGTGAAATAAAAATGAAAAATACAAAAAACTCTGATAGGTTGAGCTCAGTTTCTGAACACCTTGTAATGGTATCATCCATCCTAACCACATGTTCAATTTCAGGAATGTGTACTGCGAATGCTGACATCTGTGCTTTTATTTAGGCTGGTAGAATCAGACTGTGCAGTTCTTCAAAGTAATTGGAAATAAGTGGAACATGTAGGTATGGCTCCTCTCTATTGGTTGGGTGAAGAAGGGTTCTTCTGAAAGAACCTAAGCTTGCATTTGAACCTAACAGGTTCTTCCTACCGGTGGTGTCCTGATTCTGTAGACTTAATTTGCAGCTCTGTAGCTGTGCAAGGAAAGATTGAATATGTGTTGTATTATTACTTCTGTATTCCATTTTTTTATTCATTTCTTGCTTTAGATTTTTTTGAACAGAACTGTGATATTCTCATAAAAAGCAGTGGAGATAAAATAAACAGATAGGGTTTTCTCCCCTCTTTTCCAATATAGGATTTGTTAAAATATGAATAATTCAGAGAACTCAGGTTACCTAATATATTCTTTGTGTTTTTCAGAAGAAGAAAAAAAGAAATGTCACCTGTGAATTCTAAGTTATTTCCCTAACAATGGTGAATGGCATTGACACAGTTGGTAACAGCTCTCAATATATGAGTGTCAGCCAACAATAACTATCTTGGCTGTAGCAGAACTACTCTGGATATGCATATTGGACAAAAAATTGGTCTGTATTTCAGTAAAGAATGCTGCTCATCTTCTCCTATGCTTGAACTATCCAGGACGTTTTCTCCACTGTTTTTAAAAGATTACTCTTTTGTTGAAGCTTTTCCCAATACATACAAATTGAAGTGCATGCTAGATGAAAATGCATAGGATCAGTGTAATGTATGTTTAAAACCTTTAGGGATAACTTCCTTTTTAGACTATATCAGGAGGATTCAGGTATAAAATATTGGATTATATTCTCACAATATCCAACGATGGCTTTTTCATGATGTTAACTTTCTGGTTTTCACTATTGCAATACGGCTGAAATTTTGTCAAGTTGAATTCAGCATTGCACCCTAGCTAATAATAACAACCAAAAGCTGGTATTCCTCCAGGGTCTTGTTGTACTATTGCTCCTCCACAGCTTGACCAGTACAGGATGTTAAAACTTGAAGTGGTTTCCCGAGTTCTAATGAAGTAAGAACTGAGCTATAGCAAAATGCAGATGCCTGCTCTGGGTACTTATTCTCAAGCTGATGACCGCATGTCTGGGTGGCTGCAGAACACAGCATTCACTGAGACAGCTTCTGTTTAGCTTGGTTAATTATACAAATGTCATCCCCCAAATGGCTTATCAATTTTCTATCTTATTAGAGCATTTTAGAGTAAAGGAATCTTTGATGCCAGCCCTCCTCTGATTTGTTAATAAGTCAGTCAAACTCTCTGTGACTCAGTTTTGCTAATCTATGATTGGGTATAATATGTGCTTGTTCTGCTTCATGAGACTATTGTGGAGTTTATTTCATTAGTATTTATGAGGACTTGGAGATCATCAATGCCAGAGAAATACAAAAATTTGTTATTACCGTATTAAATATATGTATGTATATTTTTTCCTTTGACACTGGCTTTCCAAATCACTGCAGTGTTTCATATAATGAAATTTACCTCAAATAATGACTGTAATAACTGAACAATAATGAGGAATGGCATTGCTTCCCTCTGAAACCACCATAATTTGCATAAACCATTCTGAGAGTCTGGTAAATGATATTCTTCTTGGTCAGTCCACAGAGATTAATATGTGTTTGACTTTGCGAAACATTAGTGAACTCCAGCTTCAGCTTGTGTAGGTATGCAGGTGTTTTCACATCCTTGGAACATTTGCCTTCTTTACAAGCTGACAATCCAGCAAAATTAGAGTTTGACATTAGACATGATGCTGTATTTTCATTCCAAGCTTGTAACAATTCTTGCTTACTCTTATTAATTATAAAATCAGGTTGGCAGTCCTTCCTTGGTGTATTTGAAGATAGGTTTGAAGTTTTGCAGAACTGAGGTTTCATTCCCAAAAGATGGTTTCTAATGCTGCAGTAAATTGAGGGAAGATGCATGGGAATGTGTGAAAATCAAGCAGTAGGTGAATAATGCATTCCTGTGTCCTTATTACATTTATGTCTGTAAACTGCTTATTTTCTAGTATGGTTGCTACTGTGGGAGAGAGTGGCAGCTCTGTATGTCTGTGCCCCCACCTGTGTCATCCTACTGCTAGTACTCCAGTCCCACATGTACAAAAAATCAGTAATATTATTAACTATTTAATATCACACAGCTGTTAAAATGTATTTACACAAGAAAATAATGTGTGGTGTTTCTGCAGCTCTCAGCATTTGTTCCCTTGTCAAGACAGGGTCCTTGCTTTCCTATATGGCTGCCCACTTCTACCATACTCTCCCTGTCCTGTGTGCTGCCTCAGTGTGCACATGCACATTGTGATTTCACGTGCCCTACACAATCTGGGTTTTGTGGCTTTGATGGTATAGTGAGCTGTGCACCTGCAAAATGATGGATTTAGTCCAAGTTTTGAGTGTACAGGTGTCCTACTTGCAAGATCCAGCAAGCTAGTGAGTGGTGTCACTGTTTCTGCAAAGAAGGCGGGGGTCTGACGGATCTGAAGACTAACAACTCAAAGTGAGGGGAAGGAACCCCACTGAGAGAATCTGGCTCTTATGTGGCCCATTTTACCCGAGAGCATAAATTTCAGGCATACATCTTCACACTTTCTCTCTTTGTACTTTAAGTTACTACATGCCCTTGAGTTCAGGGGAAATGTGGTACATAGTCCCACTGAAGAGACTTGGACTTCACAAGGAGTGAAGAAAAAAATGACATTCTGGGGGTTATAAATGTGGGTTAGGGACTCTTCAGTTCATATCTTTGCTGCCTACAGTTACACATGGTTCTTCTTTTTATTGCAGCAGAAGCCTACTAACCCAGACATACCTATTTGACTGGCAAGGTGTGGATTATGGAAGAACAACTGATGAACAACTGCATCCTTGATCAATTTATTAATAGCCATGAGCAGTCATACGAAGAGTTTCTAAGCACATTCACTTACCTTTTGAAAGGTATGTACATCCCAAATCTCCCACTAGAAATTGCAGCCTGAAAGGATGGTAAGAAGCGCAGCAGTAGTATTTAGAGTTTAGCTTCTGATGCTTTTATTTCTCCTAACAGCAGTGAAATCCCTAATGACAGCTTTCCTTAGTCTGGTTCACACACTTACAGGTGGTTTGCTTTCTTTAGGAATATTGTGGGAGGCAATATGTGGAAGGCTAGGCTTTCCTTACGTAAGTCCCATGTCATTTTGCTAGGGAACTATGCATAAAAGAAGCAGCTACGGAAAATTCATTGTAGTACACAGTGGCCTAAGATGTGTGCAGCTTGGATAGTTTCATTGTTTTAATAGTGCTGGCTTTCTGTGCTATATTATGATAAGCATAAAACTGGCTCTACAAATAACTTGGATGAAGGGATATCATATTAGGATAATTAGGTTGAAAAGGTCTTCTGCTTCACAGATAAAATAAAAGGGTGGAGCTTAATTTTGATCTGAGCATTACAGGAAGTTTGAATTTGTATCCCAATTCTGCAGCTCAGGTTCACTTATTCTGGTTGTTCTTTCAGGTGCAGTAAAAATAACTGAGAGTTACATATTACTCAGTTACAATTCTTTTTACTACAACTTTGCACTAATAATATCCTCATCTTATTGCGGAAGTACTGTGTTTTCCAATTACACTGTGTGGCATGCTCCACTGACTGGCATTCAGAAGTCTGGCCTGTACTTGTCCTTCAGGCAGAACTAAGTGTCAGTCAGAGGCACTGAGCAGAAAACCAGAGGGGGAGTCAAAACTGCCTCAGAAATAATCTTGTGGCAGCCTTCTGTCTCTCGTTCCAATGAAAAATAGAAGAGAAAGGAGGCACTGGGAGGTGAGATAAGAGGATTGAAAATTAGCTTCTGGTCTTTATGTATGATTGATGCACTGGGGATAGGTCCTGTCTTAGAAGCATGCTACATATCATGATGCTACTTGCAAAAAGCTTCAGCGTGTGTTTCAGTCACTTTCATTGTCACTACAGCATCTGCCACTAAAACTTAGTATATCAAAGGTAGAGTTTTAACTGAGTCAAATGCTTAGAAATGTAGCTTCCTATGCTGGTGTAAACAAAATAACTCAGGTTGTTTTTTTCCTGTCTTCATTTTCCTTTAGAAATACCCAAAGGTGTTGGTTTGCATTATAAAACTAATGACCTGTAGAAATTCTACTTTAAGCACAAGGTATTTTAGCATCAGAACAGTGCAAAAACACTGTGCAAAATATGACATTCTTAGTTTTTCAATTTTGCACTTGAAAAATAAGTCATTTGGCTTTTAAAAAATAATTCAAAAAAGCAACTGTAATAGCTTAATAAGACTATCTGTTGATAGGCTCCAGAAATGTTCACTTTCATGTCATAAGTTCAGATATTCACTGTGGAGGTACATTTGTGGTCACTGTCTAATAAGATCTGTCCATTTACAGATTATCTTTCTGAATTTGGCCTGATAGTAGTGTAGATCCACACTGCATCTTCATACAATGAGCATTAGTGTTAGAATTTGCAGTCCTGTCTCATTAGATTTAGAGATATGTCTGTGTACACAAATAACCAAAGCTATTCAGTTATGTTTGTAAATTAGGTTGTAGCATTGCAAACAGAAGAAACAAATAGAACTGATTGGATTCCACTGATTTCAGAGTACCGTATTTGTATAAGGTGACTTTCACTTGTACATAAATTTGTACTAGCTCCCTAGTTGGGTTGCAGGGATGTTTTCACCAGAAGTTTCCATGTTACTCTTGCAAGCATCTCATAAGAAGCTGGTTCCCTAATATGTAATTTTTCTTCATTAATTAAATTTACACACAATAAAACTGAAAAAAATATATGTATATTACCATGAATACAAAATCCAAGCATCACTGACTGCTCTGGACTATCTAGACAGACCCCTTTGAGACTGTAAAATGTTAGGCTAGACTAAGCCCTTGTGGACACATGAGGGTCTTCTTCTGACAGAATAGTTCAATTCTTGTAAACATGGGAAACCGAATATTAATGAATTCTGGCAAGCCTGCCTTTCGCTGGATTTTTAAGGGTTGCTAATAGCCTATTAAAGGAAATCTTATGTTTAGAATGTTGTCTTTTTATATCTGAATGTGATATTACCTTTTGCTTCTCTGTACAACATGAAATGAGATCAAATTCTTCATTATGAGATTTGAGAAAATACTCCTTTTAGCTTGAATAGAACAAGATTTGGAGTCAAGATAAATCCTTCTAAATCCTATGTAACTTATTTAGTGATATATATGTGATTTAAACTTCATGGGACCATAAAATTTTATCTTTGATACAGGAATTTAGTCTTCCTCATTTTGGCACTGTTAAAAACGCAGTGACTCAAAGTCTATTTGTTTTAAAGTGTGCTTGCTGATGTGGCAGAATTTTATAGACTAATAGACAGTAAATTATACTGTAAGGCTTTTCCTTCACTTCTACCAGATCTAATAATGATAGAACATGGATTAACTTACTCGAATGATGTGTAAGAACCTTGAGCTGAGCATTTTAAAGATATATTTTCCAACAGAACTTGATCGATTGTAAGTGCATAATATCTGTAAAAGTATGGCAGCACTCTCTACATGACTGGAAAGAATTTTAATAATTTTTATTGGCCATGTAGCAGAAAGACACTTGAGGGCAGGGCTGCTAAAAAGTCCCTTTTCCTGTGTATGGCATCCAAAGGGTGTTTTTTATTAAAAAGATGATATTAAAATGAATAAATAGTTGAAAGGGATGGTGAACCCATCGTAATACAAATCAGTAATTAGAGCACAGGCCTAGAAAACTGAAACTTTTCATACTCTATTAAGATTTTTAAGAGTTTTAAGTATCTGCAGAAGAAAGACCACCTCTTTTGTTCAAATCCTACTGATGATATTGGTAAGAGAAATTATTTTGTTGATTATTTTAATATGTTCATTAGTATTGCTTGTAGAAACACTAAATGCTCTTATGTTTATGCCAAGTTAACATGTTTGTTTTTTGTTATTCCTTTAGCTTTGAGTAGAAAAGGTTTCAGAACAGCTAACTAGCATTTTTCTGGGGTTGTACAGCTCTGCTATGATGTTTAAATCCAACAAAAAATCATGAATGATGTCTTGACAGTACAGTTAAAGAAGCCTCATGAATGTTGGATTTACAAAGGAATTCATGATGCTGTTTTCTGTAGGGTTGGCTCATGAGTCATCTCTCCAAAACTAAATGCTAGAACAATTTTGGATCTATTTCAGTGAGAATTTGTCTGATCTGTGATTTTTTAAAAAATTACTGCACGGGGCAAGAGATTCTGTCTGGTCTTATAAAGTGAGTTGGAAGTTTAATGGAAAGAATTTGGTGTCCAAAATTAGAAGGCAGCATTTGCTTCTTTTTCTTAAACTCAGAGAGAGACTGGGAAATTCATTCAAACACAAAGTGTCTCCTTCGATCTTTTACCAAAAAAAAAGAATCATCTGGATTTTAAGTTACTCATTTCTTAGTTAAATGTATTTATATGTATCTATATAATTCTGAATCAGCCAGCTGGTAGAATAAGAAGCTATTGCTAGAATAAAATTCTTAGCCGAACTCAAGATTTGCTTCACAGTTTTTCCATGCTTCTGGCTGCTTGACCACTGCAATTAAGTTCAGACCATTGCTGCTGTTAAGTTTGGTCTATTTCATGTACTTCACCCTACTTGGCTCAGTGTTGAGGGCTTTAATCAGACCCATTTCCAAGTAAACTGAACCTTGGATGTATACTTTCTAGCCTCAGTGCTGCTCTTTTAATGCTTCTGGACACAGCAGGCTGTCAGGCAGAGGAAGCTGGACAGTGGCCGACAATCTCTCTGCTTCCAGGTGGAGTGCAAGAGCTATCTTCTATGTTCGGATCAAATTAATTTAATTCCCCAGTGAAAGCTCCTGATGTATTTAGTTCACAGTCCATTTGATGGTAGCTATCTGCTTCCTTTTTTTAACCGTGATAAGAAAAAACAACACCTTTAAACTTCCAGGATAAGTGTCAGTAAAGGCACTTTACAAATTTGGGTCTAACCACAAAAAGCGTGGCAGAAAACTATTTAAGAAATGACAGTAAATTCACTTTAATTTTTTAAAAAAATGGACCACTAGGACAATGATAACCCCAAGAGAAATTTGCAGCCTTCTTTGTATGAGTGGATTTGCCAATAAAAGCAACTAGGCAACTCAATAAAACTAATTAAATTAATCTGTCATCCCCGGGGAACTTAAACAGGGCATGAAATAGGGAAGCAGCATCAATTCAGAGCTTTTTATTGATGTGTTTTGCTGGATCATTGGAAAGAATTGGTTGGGAGAAAAAATTTGCAATTTTCTATTGATCATAAATGTAGTAGCCATCTCTGTAACCTTCATTTGATGTAGTATAGAATCAAATACCATACAGAACCCCTAAATGCAGAAAAAAAGACATAAAGATGCAAGCACAATGGATTATTTTTGAAATTATTTTTCTTTCCTGTGATGCCTCTCTTACTGAACAATTTTAAAGGATTTTCAGATGGAAAAAGATGTATTTTTATCTGTGCATGACTTAGATTATATCATTCTGGAATCAAAGGAAGGAAAATATTTAGTAGTTTTGCTGTTGATGTTTTGGTACACATAGTGGTATAGTAGTGGTATATTGGCTGTAGTGGTATATTGGCTCTGGCTGAATTCTGTTACACTATATGAAATGATAAGACAGGATGAACCCTTGCTCTGCCTTCTCACCTTGCCTTGAAAGGCATCAAAGTGTGCTAAATGCAGCTGTTGGCTGTTTCGTGGCACTCCAATGAGGTGAGGAAACACTGTTAGCTCTCTTTTTCTATATGAAGAAATAGCACAAAGCAAGCATCATAGATGAGAGCCATATAAGGGCTTGACAGGACAACCAGAAACAATAACTGTGACCTCAAACTGTGTTTAGTGTTGAACCTTCCATAAAATTGTGGGTTTTTTTTCTTTTTTTTTATTTTTTTCTTCTGTGTCCAGTATGAAATCATGTAGAAATGGCTACTTTCAAAGAAGTATGTATTTGCCATTTGTTAAAACCAGGTCACTCTGAAGATAACTTAATTTCTTAATTATGATGTCCAAAATCAAGTATTTTTTAAAGTACTTGGGATCTGTGATTCTTTTGAATTTTGTTCCTTCCTGCTGCAATCTTTTTATTACTTGTTAAAAAATTAATACCTTTTGTGGATGTCAGATGCTTTAATCTGACACGGTTTGTTTTTCCTTACAGTGCTTATCTACTTATCTGCTTGCGCTGAATTCTTCTAGAATGCAATTACACAGAAGGTTTTTAAAACTAACCCTGTTCTGATTTATTAGACTGCAAAACAAACAATTAAAAGCCTCCAAGTGCAGAAATAATTCTAAATACATTGTTTTTTTTTAGCTGACATTCCAAGTATGGCTCAGAAATGTGGGGTTCCTGTATACTGCATGGGAATTGTCCTGTTAGCTACTGTCAAATTTAAATTTTCCTAAACTATCCCTCAAACACAGTTTTGTCTGCACTTGGAAAAGAGTGGTGCAGATTTTATGAAGCCATCAAAAGCATTCCCACCTTTATCAACTTCTGGAAAAAAACTTCAAGTTCTTACATCCTGATACACTCTCAACTGTAGTCTGTTCTTTTCAAAACATATTTTTCCCCCACAGCATAAACCCCCTGTTTGAACTAAAGAATCAGGTTTAGTGTGTTGGCAGTACTTGGTTATGGTAGATGCCTCATGGTCCTGGCAGTATGAAGAGTTGTTTCTCCCTTACTTGGGCTGAGCTGGTTAATAGCAGCTGAGAGTCTGCCCTAAAACATCTGTCATGACTTTCTGAAAATTGTAAAGATAACTGTTGGTCATTACCTGTTGGAAGAAGCAGGATTTTGTTCATGGAGGCTGCAGAGATGCTCAAATGCACATCTGTTATGTGGCTTTACCAACGGCATTACAGTATTCAAATGGAGAAGGTATCTGACGCCAGCACTGTTGATCTGTGGAAGAATAATGCATGTATTTAAATGATCAGCTTGGATGAATGTGGTATAAACAGGAAATATTGCCACTCTTCTAACACTGACAATAACTAAAACCCTACAGAGACATAGATATTGATACAGAGAAACAGTACATAAAAACACAGCATATAGATTCCATTAAGGAGAATTGGAGAGATACTGATGTAGTAAAAGAACAGTTAAACTTTTGAAAATGAAGAGCCGATTTAGTTATGAATAAGTATTGCTGTGCATTAAGCTAAAGCGAATGTGTGGGTGGCTGAAATATGCTTGATGTAACCAACAGTCATTCTTCTTTCCCCAGAAGAAATAGATACGGAAAGTCCTCTCCTGTCTTTTATTTATTTATTTTAAAAATACGTTAAAGTAAAATAGGCAAAAGTGGCAGCTAGAAGTAATAATTGGTACTTAAAAGATTACACGTTACTTGTCCCAGTCTACAGAATATTTATTTATCCTAGCTGAGGACACAGAATCATAGAATCGTAGAATTGCTCAGGTTGGAAAAGTCCTTGAAGATCACGAAGTCCAAATGCAACCTAACCAAATTAGCCTAACTCTAACAACCCTCCACTACATCATGTCCCTGAGCACCATGTCCAAACAGTTTTTAAACACATCCAAGGATGGTGACTCAATCACCTCCCCGGGGAGCCTCTTCCAGTGCTTAACAACCCTTTCTGTAAAGAAATGTTTCCTGATATCCAACCTAAACTTATCCTGGCACAACTTGAAGCCATTTCAACTTATCCTGTCACCTGTCACCAGTGAGAAGAGAAAAACCCCATTCTCTGTGTAAGTACCTTTCAGATACTGGAAGAGAGCAATAAGGTCTCCCCTCAGCCTCCTTTCCCCAGACTGAACAGCCCCAGTTCCTTCAGTTGCTTGACATCACATTGTGAACTTTCATTAGCACACTGGTATTAGTGAGCAAAGAATCAAGGCTATATTATTGAACATAGTAAAAGTTGATCTTTTAACAAACAAACAAAAAACATGGAGGCAAATAGTGCTTTTGGATGATTGTCTGTGATTTAATCAGGGTAAGATCAAAGATGTAAGGGGAAGGGCTATACTGATTGAATCTCTGTTCTGGCATAAGCAGAAGAGAGTTCCATAGACATCCATTACACTGGTGCAAGGTTGCAGTGAGGGAAAGGGGAACCAGCAGCATAAAACCCCCTGTTAGAAGAAGAAATGCAGAAATGGAAGACAACAATGTTTGACATACTTGCCTCTGTGTGCAAATTAATATTCATAACATGTCTTGAAAGTGCAGTAAGTTGTTATTTTCTCAGCTTCGCAGATTGAGTAACTTTGACGGAGGAGTTCTGCTTTTAGTGTTGCCATGGGATTGGTGTCATTGAAATCAGTGAGAGTTTTAGCTGAGAAAGATTTCAATAGGACTTTAGCAATTTGGGTGTCTAATAGTTAGATAATTCAGATGCCTGTGGCTGGCAGATATGATACAGTATCTATGGAAAATCCATTGCCCTTTTGGGTGGCAGCAGAAGGTTAGGCAGGACACCTAGGGCTTCTAAAATAGCACTAGTTAACTGTTTAGGCACTTGAATTGCCCTGGAACAGGCAAATAGGTGCCTAATTCCAAAATCTTTCAGTTATTCACTGTACGGAGTAGTTTGTTTTTTTTTTTTTTCCCTTTTATTTATTTATTTTTTTCTTGTCAAAATAAGTTGGACAAATTCTGCATTGATTTACAATGATTTATGTATTTAAATACACAGGAAAAGAAAGATAGCTCAAGAATGTAAATTGGAGCAGATTTCCTTGGCAAAGTAACTAAAATAAAATACGAAGTTCTGTGCTTAGCTGTGCAGTATACAAGCAGGGGGAGGTTGCATATTTTGATTAAGGTACTGCAGAGTTATATCTGGGAGCAGGTTTGATCGAATTACAAAATAACCAAACCAAAACAAACAAAAAACAGCAACAAAAAACTAAGCTTTACAAATTATCCTCCCAACAAATTGGGTTTTCAGGCTTTAAATCTGTTTCTTTCCTGTTATGGCTTGGCATTTAGGGTAAATTACCTCAGCACCATAAAGCCGTATACATAGTTGCTAATAGGTAAATGCAGGTACTTCTGCACTGTTTCCCTGTTCTAAAAATCCTGGAGTGATATTTTATGGAAACATTTCAGTTTGTTTATGCTTTATGTGTGTCTGTTTGCTGGTGCATCTGAGATAATAAATAAAATTGAAATTTGTACTCTTGACCTCTGTACAAGACCATTATCATGCTACTGTGAGTAAATTACTTCTTGTTCAGGAGCACTGCAAAAAGACACTGCATTATTTGAATCCCAGGGGTTGCATCAAAGCATAACTTTGAAGGGATTTGAGGGATTGACAAGTCTTATGCTGTCTAATATTTTGAGGACAAAGAGGTAACTTGGAACTTTGCTGCGTTAGCTTTGTTTTTTTAATAGTTGAAAGGGGCCTTGTTCTCATCCACTTTTTACAAACATTTTTGGCATTAATCCATTGAATTGAAGGAGTGAAACGCTTGGTATCTTATATTGTTTAGTCTGGTGTGTTATCCCAAGCCAGGCACTCTGCAGTATTGATCGCTGTGTCTGTTCTTGCTTTGAAATGTTTCAGACCAAGGGACTTTTATCATTCTTCCAGGACTGGGGCTACTATTTCATCTCATAGGTTTCACTGACAGAAAGTTTTTCCTGGTAATCCCGATAGCTCTCTTCTCTGGCTTTGTGGTAAGTGACTCCATTATTCTTTGAAATATATGGGTGATCAGTGGACATTTTCAAAAGATTCCCTTCCAAATTGAAAGACAAAGAGAATTTTAAGCAATATGGAGGATAGATGCTGGACAGAAAGAATGTATCAATCTGATGTACTTTCTGATAGAAACGTTTCTGAAGCCTGCAACATACGTCTCAGTTACAGTGATGGATATTACTCTAGAGAGACTGAGATTTGCTTTTCTAGAGACCTAAGCTTGTTTGTTATTTCATTGTTAAGGTAGTGACAGTGGAATTTCTAAAAAGTAAAATTGAAAAACTGTCTTCAGAGTAAACATACGAATCCTTCCATCCTTTCAAACCTCTGCTATTTTTTGTTGTGTTTGTATCTGTTATTTATTTTTTCGCACACAGTATCTAAAGGGGGTGGGGAGGAAGAGTGGGCTATGAGAAAGAAGGGGGCAGACTTCAGCAGAATGTGTTGTAACAGAACAAGAGGAAATGGTTTCAAGCAAAAGGAGGGGAGACTTAGGCTGGATAGAAGAAATAGTTTTTTTACAGTAAGGGTAGCGAGGCACTGGCACAGGTTGCCCAGATATGTGGTGGAAGCACCTGTCCTTGGAGATATTCAAGGTCAGGCTGGATGGGGCTATGAGCACCTGTTCTAGTGTAGGTGTCCCTGTTCATTGCAGGGGAGTTGGACCAAATGACCTTTAAAGGTTCCTTCCAACTCAAACAATTCTATGATGCCATGAAAAGCCAGTGCTGTACACATCTGGGTCTTTGCTGTGAATAATGAGTCAATTATCACTTAGCCAAGGGGGGGAGGCTGAGCGAGCCTCTCACTGGCTTGAATGTGACCTGTTTTGCTTTCCATTCTCTTTCAAAAGTAAGGACAGAAATGGCTGGAATTCAGAATACTGTCAAAGGAATAAAGCTGAGATATTTCTCTGCAAATTGCCAGTTTCTTTAGATTTAGCAAAATTTGTGTTGTTTTAAATATATTTTTCAAGATAATAACTTACTGCTCTCAAAGAGGCTGTTGTGTGACGTGTGTGTTGAGAAACTGCAGGTATCAGTAGTCATCAGAAGAGTGGATCTCATCTGCCCTGAGGCACACTGTCTGTGCAACATTATGTTTGATTCTCCCACCCCCCTGCCTGTTCTTGTGACATAGCCTTATTATGCACGTGGGTGCATAGCTGATATTTTACTGAGGAAGCATGTAACAATTTATTTGTGTTTTTTTTTCTTGTCCTTGTAGTTTTTTTTCCCCTTGCAGTCATTAATCTAGTATCACATTGCAGTTGTGAATGTTGCATCAAAGATAATACTTGATGTTATGTAACTCAGCAATGCTGCAGTGGTCTTAACCAAAAAAAATGTGTCTAAGAGCAGCTTATGGCTAGTCTCTTTGGAAATTGAATACTATTCTAGCTAGTCTGAAGTAAATGAATGGTGCACAAATACTGTGAATGGCTCTTGATTTCTTGTTAGCTCACATAACCTATCAACTTTTTGTCTGTGAGAATAGCTCAGATGTCCAGAAAGCATAAAATAAGTCATAAAATAACTTTGTGGACTGCTTAATTGTAACTAATGACAACTATTTGTCCTAGGTCTTCTGATATTAAGTGATATGCTTTTATTTGGAGTATTCAGGATCTTTGGAAAAGGATTATAGCACAGAAGAATGATCACAGGGGCACCCAGGATAGACATTGGCTTATTCAAGTTCTTCACTGAAAGAGTCAGGCATTGGAACAGGCTCCCCAGGACAGTGGTCACAGCCACAGGTTGCCAGAGTTCAAGAAGTGTCTGGACAATGCTCTCAGATATATGGTCTGATTTTTGGGTGGTTCTGTGTAAGGCTTGGATGATGCTTATGGGTTCCTTCCAACTTGGGATATTCTGTTTCTATACATAAGTTTATTCAGAGCCTACTGGCGTATGAATTATGATGTTGAACATTAAAGTTGATGGTGCCTTTTGTCTCTCTGTTAATCTTGCTGAGAAACGTATATTGCTTCCAGAAGCTTTCTTCCAGTTTTTTTACATAAAGGCCCCCGAATGTGCACAGTGAGGATACTGGCCCCTCAGTTCCTAGTGTGACACTGTGGATACATGTTTGGCTGCATAAAGACATTAATATCCTCTTGTGGTTTGTCAGTTTTTAATATTAAACTTCTCAGTTCTTGGTATAAAAAAGGAAGTTCATCCTGTTCTACCACTGTAATAACAAAAGATTGAAGCTTTTTGAGCCGCTAATCACATTCTTCCTGTAAAGTGGGATGACAATATCTTCAAACAGTGGGTGATAGCTTTAACCTGTCAAGAGTTTGAAAGAGGGTTTCTGATTTAACACAGCTTCATTTGCATGGCTTGAAAAAGAGAGTGTGTAGGAAGAAGACATTGCCCATATGTAGTGCTGTTTCCAAATATTGTTTTAGGAAAGCACTTGCTAAAAAAGCAAGGAGAAGCCAGATGTCATATCAAGAGACCTGGGATTTAGGAATTATTCAGAGGATCCATCTGTGGTTTGAGTTTTAAAACCTGTTTGCTAGGCTGTTCTGATCTGGTGCAATTTACTTTTAATGAACCTGACTCTTACAAGTAAGGACGTAAGGTTATGTCCAGAATGCCAGCCCTTTCTGTGTGTCATAGTAACTGCAGCACAGAGCTGTCTGTGGGGATTAATAAGTCTGTGGGAAAGTGGATGGCTGAATGTACTAACCCCAAGGGCATCATTAAGGCTCTCTGCAAGAATTACTTTAATGCCTATAACGTGTAATTTCGCTTTAGAAATGTACTGCAGTGTTTCTTATTCTTATAGAGTAAATCTTTCAAACTAAACCCAAGAAACTTGGTTAAAATCAGCATTTATTTTTTCATGTAGTGCAAAGTTCATCTGGTTCTCCATATTTTATAATGGATTTTTTTTTTTTTTAAATAAAAAGGCAGCTTTATTTTGGCTACAATTAGTATATTTTTAGCTACTTTGTATGCAAACAGTCAGAGTGAGTTTAGAATTCCAAACTGCCATGCAAATGCTTGTCTTGACCTCTAGTCAGCTCTCAGCTGCAGTTGCACTGTGGAGGTTCCATCCGTGATGTCACTGCTGTGTCATAATTTTGCTGGCTGTTCTGCACTGCAGAGACCTGTCCGGTATGATGGCCAGAAGAAGCAGGAGTTGTCCTGTCCTCGCTTCTGTTGTAAATGGCATTCTTAAAGGTATGAAAGGTGTCAGAAGCTGTCGCTGACTCACTTATATTTTTGAATACTCCCTTATTTTCACTGTGGGCCCAATTAGCTGCTATTGATGTATAAAAGAAACATGAGAGAAGGTATCCTAGTCTTCTGTTGGTACAGTGTCAAAATGTTTTTCCAGTCTGACTTTCAACAAGAGAAGAATCCCCTAAAGGAACATACCCTTCTTAAACACCTATCTTTAATCTTTAATTTCAGAGCCTAAACTTTTGACAATTAAATGCTGCTGGCATATGGCTGTTTATAAGCTTGATCCCAGAAACAAATTTTCTCTTGCAAAATTGTTCCTGGACAGTCAGGTTGCTAATGTAGGTTTTGAACACTGAAAGCAGCAGTACCTAAAGGTCTCAGCTCAAATGAGGTGTATTACTAAATAAAGATACAGGAGCTAGATTTGCATTGTGATAAAGAGAGCAGTTCTTTGCTCAGCATCAAAGACAGAGTAGGTAGCCAGACCTTGAAATTTGCTTTCTCATCCTTTTAGGATTGTGCGTCTTTCTAAGCAGAAATCTTTCATCCGATTATGATCTGGGGCTCTCTCTTCATGGTGGCAAATTGCGTGCTGTCATCTGTCTACAAACTAGTAACTTTAAAGTGATAATATCATATAGGACCTGTCACTGTATCTCATCACATAGTCTTGGTCTGGTGGAGGTTCTGGCAGTGGTGATGTGGAAACCTGAGAGCTTTGCAGATGTTGAACCTGGGCAGGCGCACAACTGGTGTCACTACCAGCTCTGGCAAAGGAATTGCCAAGGCTGACTTCTATACCAGACAACATGGATGTTTGCTCTAGTGGTTGTGGTGTTCACATGCAGGAGCATGTGTTTGGGCTATTCATCAGTGTAAACACGGTGATACCAAGATACTGTGGTATGAAATACAAGAATTTTTGGACCAGATCATTACAGCACTCAATAAAATTCAGAGCATTTTTCTGTTCTTGGTAACCTATCAGGTATGTGAAGGTATGTAAAGTTTTTTATATACTGTAAACTTTTTCAACAATGAATTTTTCCGTATCAAGGAATAGATCATACTTTATGTACTAGGAGTTCAAACTGCATATTTAGCTTTATGATAAAGATTGCAAAGTAGATGTATATCATGCACATGGAAATTCTGAGCATAAGACGAGAAGTGAATATTTGAATGAAGTCAGTATAATATCTAGTGAAATTCATATGTTTATCTTGGATGGTGCCATTATAGTATCTGATGTAATATGATTCTCCTTGCAGAAGAAGAGATGAAGATGATTCAAGGATGTAAAAAATCCTTAAGAAAATCATTTTCTGATTCTGACATCTCAAATGGAAATAAACAGGATGGTTTCCCTGAAAGAAGCAAGGAAAAGCTCATGTCTGTCCTACCACAGACTCCAAATGAGAATAAGGTAATAAGTTAACATCTGTCTGTGTGGACAAGCATCAGTTTCAAAAAGATTAAAAGAAGTAAAAATAAGGGTATACTGTCTAAATGTTAGATGCTGATGGTATTATCCCATCTAAGGCAAATATTTAAAACACTACCCAAGTGTGTAATGCTTACGGAGGCAGCTGCAGGGATCACATTTGACAGTGGCATTTTCTCTACTGCAAAGCTGTCCTAATCTGACTAATAAATAAGGAGCCCCACAAAGACCATTGTTAGGCTTTCACTCAAAACTGCAGTTAATGGTAGGGTTTGGCAAAAAGACTTGAGTGTGTGAATACCAGCATGCACACATTTACTTTGCTTGAGGATTTTAAAAAATACAGAATCCTGTTGCTTCAGCTGCCTGAAGTAAATATTAGGCAGGCCAGAAGTCTTTTTAATTTTTGGAAACCTATGAGATTAGGAATGTGCAGGGACAGGAAAACCGCATACATCATCTGGAGAGAGCAAGATGAAAATCTGAATCTACTTCTTAAGAACTTGTACCCTCCTGCATGAATAACAAAAAATAAAGCTGCAATCTTGCCTGTAATAGATTCATTAAGCTTCTTATTACAAATGAAGTAGCAGGTCGTTTTGTGCAATGCACACAGCAACACACTTCAGTGGCTTCAAATGATGGCACTGCCGGGCCTCAGTCAAAGAGAAAAAGCTGTCATTTTTCTCCCTACTAACACATGCCTTTGAGGTAGAATCAAGCAAGGCTTTTAAAACAGTCACATTCTATCAGCTGATTGCATAACAAAAATGACAAAAATCTTTTTGCCACTGATCTTATGAAGAGTACGGATGCTTCATTGGTATAGATGGCCTTTGGGTCTCTTGCTTTAGCCACTTTGAATTGTTTTTCCACCCTGTAGAGCAACGTGCAGCTTCCATTAGCCTTTATGTTAAGGAAGATCTTAATACTGGTCTTTGTTGCTACAGAAAAAAAAGTTTCAGCCATGACGCCACATTTTTGTCACATGAACAGTTTTAGAAACAAATACAGTAGTAGTAGAATGCATCAGAAAAGCTGCTAGAATAGTAATGGGAGGAGTCTTTAATACATTAAGTTGGGCACAGTAGCCTTTAAACTTCCTGTGAGGAAAGAAGGGAAAGAACTGCATTTGTAAACAATATTTCTATTCCAAATGTTGCTTTTTTGGCATAGTGTGATTACTTATACTAAATCAGTCTGGTTCCATGTAGAATTTCAAAGGATTACCTACATGCATTCTATTTGCAGCAGCACAGCATTCACTTTATACAATTTTTAATCACTGTCAAGAATCTGTGTGTGTAAATCAGTAGGGGTGTAAATGAGCTTGACTTGCTTTGGTTCTGTTTCATGCATATTTCTGCATGTCTATCTACAGACGGTCATAAATGAGAGCTGGAAATCTGGTGACTCTGATGGAAATGGCCTCAGTCTATCTGAAAGAGCTCAGGTGAGGTTTCCTTTGATTTTCTTCAAAGTGGAGATTATGAGTTGAACGTCACTGAATTTTGCTTTATGTATAAACAAAGCATTTGCAGTTTGTCAGTGTATTTCTTTCACATCTATGGGAAAGAAGAATGAGATCATCATCCTCCACATTTCTTTTCCAAGTGTTAATGAGCATGTGCTATTAAAATATAAAGGTTGTGTAACACAATAGTGCCAAATCAGTTTGTAAAAAATGATCAAAGAGCATCCCTGATTACTGCACAGATACACAGAAGGCTCTATTGTGTATAGTAAATAAATCCTTTGTTGTAACACTATTTACAGATGGGTTGGGAAAGCTCTTTGACTCTCATATTTGCATCTATTCAGAGTGCTGCCTTGAATATGAAGCAACTCTTGTGATACTTGTTCTATAGTGTGGACTGTTTTCAGCAGATATCAGCCTGATAAAAACAGTAGTGATACGTCCCAGCTGAAGTATTAAAATTTACATAATCCTTAGCTTTTTCATTTTCCATTCAGTTCAATATTAATATCAAATATAGAAAGATGAAGTTTACAGTTTAAGCTGTGCCTGTGTCACGTGTTGTGCCTTTGCAAATCCACAGAGTAGCTTTTTTTTCTTTGAAAATATTTGACTTCTCCATCTTCCTACCAAGATTTTGAAAAGGTTGCTCTTCAGCTTGAGCTTCTTTCGCTGTAGTTGGTATGCAACAGCTGCAGCAGCAATCCTGTGCAGAAATCCTTCTACACTTAGAAGTTTTTCCTTTGTGTTTTACATTCAAGAAAAAATCATATTCTTTCTTGGAAAAATACAGAGGAGAATTGAGATGACAAAGAAGACAACTTAATGCTTTTCTGCTTTTTTGTATTTGTACTGAAAGGAATGAAATTTGATCTGTTTTTCACTTTATTATTTTTTTTTTTTTCCACTGCAGGTGGACCATTACTTAGAAACATACATAGATGGAGAGCCACGCAATGGTACGTTTTATCCATCTTCATATTCACAATCAGATTCTGTCTTTGGATCCATGTGTACAGATATTACTTTTTATTCTTTTTAGTGACTCTGAAACATTGTTTAGCAGAACAGTTTATCTCTTAAAAATTTTATTTTTCCTCCATTCTTCTATTGCCAGAAAATTTTCCCAATTGCCCGTATGCCCCAGACTAATGAATTTATGTCCACACTCTGATGAGATATTAAGTTACCTGTTAGGCAGTGATTTTTTTTCAAGGTTTTTCAACTTTTTGTGGCAACTTTCTCATTTTTCTGTTCTTCTGTTTTGTATAGAAATTATTTTAATTAGAAAGTGTAACCCACAAAGTAAATCGGGTGCTAAAAGAGAATCCTATGAAGTGGAAATATTTAATGAAAATGTTTTCCCTACTCATTATAGTGATTTCATCCTGGGCTTAAAATGAATAAGAATTATCTTTAATACATGGTGAACTTCTTTGAGCATTCAAACTGTGAGCATTTTGAATTGTTTTGAATTTCTCCATTATGAGTACAAAAAATTTAACTCTCCTGCCACTGAAAAGTATATAGAAATATTGTGCCTGCAGTTGTTTGTCTATTACAGGTACTTGTGCGGTCTTTGTTTCTACCAAAATGGAACACCTTGTGGTGATTTTCCTCATCTATACTTGTGACTGCACAAAGAAACCAAGCCATACAGTTTAAGAGTTTTGCATAAAGTCACTGGAAGAAGCTGTGACAGAGCAGACTTTGGTCCTTAGTTGTTACTGTTTAATTAGTCTGTCTAATCCATTAACTGTTTGATTAGTCATTTCTGTATGTGCAGAGTACTTATGAAGTCAGAGGGCTTACAGGCTTGGAACTGATGAATATTTAGAGCTTGGTTGTAACTCACAAGAAAACAATAAACCAGCCTAAGTCAGTTTTATAACAATCTTTCTTTGAACTGGGGCATAGTAGAAAGGGGAGAGTGAGATTGCTGTCCTGTGTTAGGTACAGAAATGGAAAAGTTCTTTTCTGTGCATTGTTCTTCTCCTCATTTTTCCCCCCTTTTAGGACATTGTTCTCATTGATCTGTGTTTATCTTCAATTATCATAATATCTATTAAAACTGGGACTCACTGGTGGAAGCCTTAATTTACATTTCACTAATGAAATAAGACTGGTCTATATCTAGTTTAGGAGAAGTATCATCAGATATCTCTAGTTCAAAAGAAACCACAAACTGGAAGATGAGAAATAAGCTCAACAGTACAAGCTGGGCAGTGATGAAAAAGAACTGACAGAACTTGGGGTCCACTTTCTGGACCATTGCAGACATTGTCTGTCCACAGGCCTTTCAGTGTGCAAGACTAAATGCTAATCACATACATTTAGAAACCTCCTAGTAAAACATGCTGCATTTGAACAAGATGAAAATTACAGAAATGATCATCTGCTTGTGCTGTCTGAATATAACTTCATGCAAGCTAACTTGGGAAAGTTTTTCAGTTATGGCTTTTAATGGTAACCATAAACAATAATAAAAACTATTATATCACCACTACTGTAGATTAGCACTATGCTAACTACTAGTTTGTTTTTTTTCTACTTGACATTTGATTTATTTCAATATTTGCTCTCCTCAACTCCTCCCACAAGATAGCCCTCACTGCACAAACTGCTTTGCTGCAGAAAGTGGCTGCATCAACTCCTAAGCAATCAAGAGTGCCGACTAATGACATGAAGTATTTAGATTATATTTTATAACATTGCAATACTGCACAGTCAGAAGCTAATTATTCTGTCTCTGCTCTGTAAGGAAAGTAAACAGCAACCAAACTCAGAAATGCATAGCCTTGTTCTTGCCCAAGGCTTCAATGGAGGATGGTTGTTCAAGTCAGAAATAAACCCGCAACAAAACTACAAAAAGAACCCCTTCACTCCTAAGTCATCATGCAGAAAATAGGCCTCTTAGCTAGATAGTTCTCTTATACATTAAAATCCACATTTCTTCATGAAGAGAGATTAATAATCTCATTTCTATAAGTAGAAATATAGATATTTCTAGAAATATAAATATTTCTATTTCTAGCAACAACATGCAAAATAAAATATAAAATGGTATGGCTACTCTTGTTTACCTTAATGAATATAAAATATCACTAATGGCCACTTTAATAAAGGATTGATTGTAAAGGGCTCTAATTAATTTATAAGTAAGGCAAAGTGTGAATCAAATTTGAAAGGCATTCTGTTGCTGATCTCTTTAAATGCTGCCACCCCTGTGTCAGACAAATGAGTTCATACTGGCAGAACAAGCCAGGACACCCAATGAAAAATATACCTTGCTAATATAATTACAGCAAGCTTTTATCTTTGCTTGATATTGGCAACTGTTCAGCATCTCTGTACTTCATTTAACTTTAAGGGCAGATAATTTAGCTGAGTTAGCAATTGTACATTAATGCAATAAATATTCACACTTACGGAGAAGTGGCTCAAGGCTGAAGGTGTGAAAAGCATGGTAGAAAATACATTTTAAAACAGCCAGGTGCCTTCTGGAAGATGTTCTGTGAGAATCACTTTGTGCTTGCAGCCCAGAAGGTCAACTGTATCCGGGTTGCATCAAGAGAAGCATGACCAGCAGGTTGAGGGAGGTGGCTCTTCCTCTCTACTCTGTGAGGGTGGTGAGACTCTGGCACAGGTTGCCCAGAGAGGTTATGGATGCCCCCTCCCTGGAAGCATTAAAGGCCAGGGTGGAGGGGCTGTGAGCAACCTGATCTAGAGGCAGGTGTCCCTGCTTGCAGCAGGGGGCTGGAACTACATGGTCTTAAAGGTCCCTTCCAACTCAAACCATTCTGTGATTCTATGAATCATTCTGCTTTGTTTATTATTTTACTAAGTGTGAACACAGCTGCTTCTAATGAGAGAAGCAGCCCATAGATTTAGTCAGTATGCAAATTCACTGTAGCTGTTTTCATTAGACAGCACTGGGCTGCAAGCCTGAAAGCAAGGCAGTACTTTTTCATTGTGAATCTTTGGCTCAGCAAACCAGAATTGGCAAAGGAAAATTGCTGTCCTAAACCATAGCTTTAAACCCTAGCGTAGTGACAGCATGCGTATGGTGGACTGCTTAATTGCTTTTTCTCATTGAATTTAATCTGTAAGTAGCTTAAGGCAACAATAGAAATAATGAGGCTTTCTCCAAGGACAGATGGAGAATGCCTAGTACCTGTGTTTTGGCAACAAAATTCCTTTCCAGAATGGGTGACAAATCACTTGCCGTAGGGCTCAAAGGATACTTGGGTAATAATAGTAGATAGTATTTATACAAAATGCTAAATATGTGAGAAGCATGTCTAGGGACCTTGAGTATAGCCTTCTTTAAATACAGGAGTATATTAAAAAAGAGCTGATTGAATGTGTGAGTAAGGATACACAGATTGAGCTTAGAATGCTGAGATGCAGCACACTTGTCTTTTCATGGTCCACATTTTCTGCTGCCCCAAAGAAAATATGGAGAACCTGAATGACTGATTATTTAACTTAACAGTTCTCTATGCAATATTTAGCAATATTTTATTTTCCATAATCTATGCCTTCCTATTTATATTTTGAAAAAAAAAAAATCATCTTCAGGAACAGGATTCAGAGTTCTGTGGACGTTTTTTTTTAAAGTATTGGGCTCCACCCAACCTACGAATCTGTTTCTTTTTATCTCCTCTACTCTCTGCAACCCACTTAAGACTGCCTCAGGATGACTTCACACTAGACAGCTCTTTGGGGCTAACAGCCTGAAGCCTGAGAATGAGAGGAGCCAAAATTTAGCTTTTAAGGTTTTTTGTTTTTTTTTTTTTTTTTTTTTGTTAGCACTACTTTCCTCTTCAGCTTCCCATCAACAGAATTTTTGCCAAATGTAGTGTCAAAAGTGGTAAAGCCTGCAGTGGCCTATCTATAGCTGTGCATCACTTGGCTCAGTAAAGATAGATAATTGCATACTTCTTCATTCCTGAGGGTTCAGATCAGTTTTCTGCCAACAGATTATTTTTTTTCCTATACTTATAATTAACATCAGTGGTACAAACTGAATCTAAAAAAAACAATTTAGTGGTCTTTGCAAATTTAGTTAGTAATCACTTTCTCTGAGCCTGTCACGTGGAGTAAAAGAGCTAAAGAAGATTTTCTCAGCTTCCAAATCTGTTCTGCTAAACTTCACTGGACTCGAGCAAAATTGTAGAAGTGCATTGCCATATTATCCAAGAAGATGATTCTTCAGTGTCTTCTCATATTTTTGATATCACTGCCTTCTCAATTATCTCTATATACAGTGCCATTGGCAATATCCATGGCATTCCTGTTGCTAATTAATTACCTCCATACAGAACATAATTAGCAGCTTAATTAGGATCATCATCCACTAGTGCTGTAACAGCAACCTAAATCAGCTGTGAGGTACTGGCTAGAACTTTCAATAGCCTACAGTTCCTTTGGGAGCTCCCATTGAGAAGGAGTACTGTCAAAACTCTCTAATTTTTCTCTCTGAAGGAGTTTCTTGATTAAACATTATCAGGGAAAGCAGCATTTACCGATTAGACTTGCATATGCTGTCATGCAGCCAGGATAGAGAGACAAAGCTCATTTCTGGCATGTCTACTGGCAAACAAAGGTTGATTACCACATTCTTACGGGGTGATTGAAGGAAATTTGAAACACTGTTTGCATTACTAACGAGACTTAAAAAATTGGAATTGACATTCTGAGTATGACAAGCACTTCTTGCTAAAAGCAAAAATAAATTTCCTTCTGTTGTCCCAATTTTTAAGAGATGTCTTCTTGAGCCACTGCCAGGCAGTTACATAAGTGTTTCTTCTTCATCTTCTCTCCACAGACTGGTCTGTTGTGAGGAAAAAGCTGCTCTTAGTACTAAAATAATGGACGTTACCTCAGGAGGTGATATAAACCTCTTGGTGTCCAGGCTTTCCTCTCTTCAGGGAGGGTATATATTTGGGGTGCAAGTTTGAAACAATAGCAGAAGTTGCCATTGCCTTTAAATAAGTATTCACATCTCACTTCTGTCCTACAAATAATTTTGACACCGGTTATGAAAGAATGAAAAAAGTAGTTCCAGAGTATGTGTGAAGCCATAGTGCATTTTCAGAAAGCTTTCTCATATAACTGATGAAGAATAAGATCAGATACTATACTGAGGACAAGGACTGAAAGCACATAGATGACTGGAGATAGGTATAAGCAACCAAGAGAGTGGAGGTGAAAATTGAAAACCACTTATTTGTGAATCATGAAGCAAAACACATAAGTCTGGGAATGAGATACCAGAGGGAATAGATTCAGCTCTTTATTAAAGAATGTTCTACTTTACAAGTCCAAAGTGGATAGTCCTGCTGGCTTTGAAAAAATATAGAGATGCTAGAAGAAAAAATAAATGAAGAATTTCATTATGTAACTTTCAAGAATGCCTAGCTAGGAAATCATTATTTTCAAATGTGGCTTTACAGGAAGATAAGAGGTCTGTAACCACTCTGCTCTGATGAAAGCACACAGGTAGAGATAAACAGCCACTTCTTCCTTTTCACTCTGCATCTATCTACCCTCTTATTGGTTCCATTAATTAACATTTGAACAACACTTTGAAAGTTTCTGAGATTTCAAGAGAAAAATAAGCTACAAATATCTGTTATGAAGCTGTAAAGAAATTTGTGCACCAGGCAGAAAAAAGAGTAGATTGATTTACATAATCCTTCAACTAAATTGCAAGACATATGGTTTCCTTAAGTTTCTTCATATGAAAGCATTATGGAGACAAGATGGATGCATCTGCGCTGTAGCAGAGTTGAGATTGGTTGATGTTAAAAGATACTTGTAAACCAAAGGCACATCATTCTGAGCTGTCACAGAAATCAAACCCACCATTCCTAGTATGAGCATTTTCCTTAAGTGTGGAATGGAGAAGTGATTCAGAAAGTCTGTAGACTTGCGAACTGTGGTCCAAATACTGCCAGCATAGAAAGGTTGCGCGTTCCAGATACGTGTAATTCCTCTTAAATGCCTCTCATTGGAAAGTTCAGGGATGGGCAAATATCCATTAAATATCCTTGGACAAGAGTCAACTGGCATCATAATGGGAAATATTATTACTTCTATCAGGTATTGCTTACTTAACACTTCAGGAGATTAATACTAAGACAGATACTTGTAAAGATTCCTTATGCCCAATGTAGAGATGGTGAAACTCTAGGAAAAGAGAATTGAAATAAACTGCCCAGCTAATCAATAGCAAGACTAGAATTCAATCTGTTATTTGTAAGTCTGCTCGGGATTTTCCTTCCTCTTTATGAAACACATAAATCTAATACCAAATTTTCTCTGAGTTTGGGCATGTCTAGCTGCAGAATTTCTATGCTGTGTTCTCAAGAAAGAAGAGCTAACCATCTATTTAACTTTGATTTTTCCTTAGTATAGTATACTTTATTATCTAGATTTTAGCTTAGGATTGCATGGATCTGTTCTCAAGGTAACTGCATAATATTATGCAACAGTCAGTATACTACACTTACAACTAAAAAACCTCTGTCTGCATTTAAGCACTATGAGATTTTACACGTGATTTTGCTAAACTTACACATAAAATGGAAGGCTAACGTCCATTATTTTTTATTCAGCAGGGTCATTTGTTCTTCCAGGAGAGGTGGAAGAGATAGGGACTTGCTCTCCACTTCCTTTAGAAAAGTCTTTTCAGCAGAAGCTCAAAATCTCCTCAGTTCAAGAGCCACTGGACAACAAAGCAGAAGAGGTATGAGGCCATATTTTTATTTCTTTTTTTTTTTTTTTTTTCCAACCTCTTGGCTTACAATGTTATTTCCACAAGGACAGAGAGATTGTGAGAAGCTTCTGTGAGTTAAAAAAATAATATTATTAATTTTTGAATTAAAAACATATTCTTAAACACATTAAGAATTGGGATAAATGATTGAATGCAAAAATGTTGTTTTGTTATTATATTATCTTGCATTTTCAAAATGTAGACTTCAAGGCTCCAAAATGTATGTAGGCTTTTTAATATTTAATTGGTTTAACTAAAAAAATATTCAAGTAAACTCTTGCACTTTCTGACCTTATAACAAATGGGAACTTACGAAGAGTGATGTGCCATTTAATATTCCAGTGATCACATGATCTTAAAATAATATTCAGTTCTCACTGAGCTGAATATAGGAACCATTTTTTTGCAACAAAGAGGTAGTGAATGATCACTTCAGTGTGACACTGAAAATAAAAATGGTTTTAGAATATACTGTGATCAGAATTGGGATTTATTCTTTTGGAAATAAGTGGTAGTATGATGCTGTATGATGCTGCTGAGGATTTGTATTGTCTACGACGGGTGTGGACAGCTTTGTGTTATGGAATCTCAGTCTTTTAATCAGACACAATCAATACGTGCTTTAATTTAGAATCGCTGTTTTCCTTCAGAATTTCAGACCTTTTCAAAGTAGAACAGAAGGTGTGGATTGCTCACAGGCTTATTCTAAGTCATTTAGCTTCCTATCCAAACAGTCATTGTGAGCATTAGCTTTTGGGGATGTTTCTATTGAAATTTTTTTTTTTCCATAGCTCTTTTCCCTTGCCTGATTGTGGTAATAGAAGCTGAAGTTAGCTTCTGGCTAAAATGGGGCAGTTTTGATATCATATGTTTATTGATATCCTATGAGGTTTAAACCATAAGCCATAATGATATGTGACCAGTGAAGGATTGATGTTATGGTAGCGTGCATAGTGCCTCCTTTCATGAGTTGAATTGTGTTTGGTTCTTTGCAATAAACTCTTCACTGTAAGGAACAGGTCTGCTTTGGGAGAAAGTAATAATGTTCTAAAATGACCTTTCCAGCTCTAGTGCATTCCACTCTGTGAATAAAAATATTTGCACTTTTCCCTAAGGACTGATGTAATTCACAGTTTTTTGCCTAAAGAAATATCCATTGGCACGCAAAAACCCTTAGTATGAGGTTTTATAGTTTGCTCATTTGATAACTTCTGTGTAAAATCAAAGAAGGGGGGTTGTTGCAGTATTCATAGATGATTGTATGTGACTGTAACATAGTTCATGAAAAGTAACTGAAGATTCCACTGCATGCAGCATTCACTTCAATTTCAGAAAAAGGTGGATTTTGAAAGGGAAATAGAGTATTATTACATTAATGCTTCTTTTTCACAAGTGTTCAGTTGGTACCGGACAACACAATTCTCAAAATGAAGTCAGCATTTTCCCTAGATTATGTGTATTTTAGTGCCTTCACTTAAGTATCAGAAATGTGGCCTGATTTTTAGAACTGTCAAGACTGAACAGGTCTATTTTAAAATCCCTCAGTGCTTTAAATTGTCATTGCTGTGAAAATTAAGTCTTGCTTTGCTTTATGACAGGACTGCTTAAGAAGAAAGATTTACCCTGGCAACATTTTGAAATGACTGTTCTCTGTCCAACAAAGCAACTCTGCTAGGGAAAGGCAACAGAATGTGGTTTCCTATTTGGTTTTCACAGGATATAATGGAAAGCCATTTCCTATGAAAAATAAACAATCTTATTTCAATGTAGGAAGAGAATTTCTTTGCTGTGGACCTATTTGTGAGAGACTTCAGTGGAATTTATTGCTAGGGAAAGTTTTGTGTACAAAAAGAAGTTCTGTTAAAAGCCAGCATAGAATTTGGCTAATTACTAAAGAACAGCTTAGTGATTGACACAAGAAATTATTTGTACTGGCCAGCAATTTTGCTAGTTTTAGAAATGTGTTATATATTCAATATATTTCATACACGTATATTCTCAAACTTTATTATATGCAGCTCAACAACACAGACCAATCTAGAGTGAAGTAGCAGAAACCGCATTCACTCCACGATTGAAGTACATTAGGCAGAACATTTACTTCCTCTGCCCCGATATTTTTTCTCTCCTTTATCTCTATATAGTATATCTATTTCATATTTTTAAATTAACTCTATGTATTAATGTCTAGGTTTTTATTTGTTCTTATCTTCCATTTGCGTATATTTGACTTCAGTTGAATGCATATTTTTCATGCTCTCGCTGTTCACATACATTCAAAGTAGGATTCATCTCACCTAACTTGAGCTCTGCTTTTAGCCTAATTTAGTGCTGTCGTCAGGAGGAAGAGATGAGCACATCCAGAAAGTGATTTATCCCACTTGCTGTCAGTATTTGTCCTCAGATGTAATATATCTGTCTGATATCAGAGGCTGACTGTCAGGCTGGTTCTTTGCTGGCTACTTTAACCTAGAAATTTAACTCTTCTGTGGCTGAGATTAGGAAAGATGAATTCAACCTTTCTGTTCTCCACTGTTAGCATTTAGTTTAAGAATTTCAAAAAGTATTTTGGCCATTCAAAAAAGTATTTACTGTGCCTCTTTTTATCATTTTATCTGTGTGATGACAGCATCTAAAACCTGAAGTGCAGGTCCCACTGACTTCCTGTGATTTGAGATTTTACTGATAGGCCTCAAGACCGAGAAAGAACATTAAGACAGGATTAACTAAGTGAAAGAAGATGGAAGAGTTGTATTGTTTTAGAGGCCAGTAAAGACAGAGATTGAGCAAGTTGTCCAGGATGATGAAGCAGTAGTGGAAAATGGACCGTGATGCATTGTCCAGTGGCCCTAACTCAAGACTTCTTTTGGTGTTGCCCTAAATCCTCCAGTACATACTAAGTTTCTACGAGATAATGGCATATATACCTTCTTCCCACCCCCGCCATCTTTTTTTTTTTCATTGTTATTGGCTTAGTAAGTTTTCCTTTGAGCATACAATGAAAACACCAGTGAGTGTATGTGCATCCTTTACATAATTTCAGCAAGTGTATTTTAGGAGTAATTACACAAAAATACAGGTATTTGGATGGACAGGAACAAACTGTTCAGTTAACTTTAACTCCACACAGATTAATAACAATGACTGAGTTGCCAGTTATTAATGGGCTTCTGAAAGTCTCATTTTAAGGTATTTTATTTACAAAATTACTTTGTAAAGCAACCTGCAGTAAAATACTTTAGTTATTAATATGAGCATTAATTTGGACATGCGGGAACTGTAAATGAAAATTATTTTCTTCAGAGAGTAAATCAAGGGAGCAATCTTAAGCAAACTGGCAGCTTTCTAATAGAGTAGAATTCTATTCCCAGAAAGCTTTCAAAAACTTTTCAATTAGAGGTTAAATTAGAGACCTGAAATTCATATATTTCTCTCAGCACCTTAGGCAAAAATAACATGATAATAACTTGATCAGCTCAGAGGATTTTGTGTTCTGTTGTAAAATGTCTTCCTTTTGAAACAGATCAAAATTGCAGATTGCAGTATAAAAATTTTATACTACTTATCTGTGTAGAAGGCTGAAGTGAATACCTTCTTGGAAGAAGCAGAAAAAAAGAATCCTTACTGCTCTGAGAACTTGTTTGAGAGATGAAGCACACTGATAAATACGTAATGTGAATAAACTTTTCAACGTGCAATGAATGTGTAACAAAAAAATTGGTAGCAGTGAAATCAGATATATTTTACTTTGGCATCCATCTCCATGTAGCTTTTTGGGTTTAAGTTTTTTTAAACAAGTTTTTCCAGTATTTATCTGCATTTGCATGAAAAGTTATTGGATTGATACAAAGTTGAACACAAGGGCACAGTGAATGATTGCATGGTTTCTGTAACTACGTTAGCAGAGAAAGGATAGATTTGTTCTTGTGGAATCCCTGTGAGGGTATACTGTAACTTGAACTATTCTGAGCTTAATTACCTTGGTAATTAACATGGTAAATTGACGTGGTAAAAAACATTGTTACAACGAAACTAACAGAAAAAATTGTTTGCATATTACATCATATTTTAGAAATGTTTTGTATTTCCTCAAAGGAAAGATGAAATGTTATTGCTGTTACCAGTCATTAGCCAGCTCCTGGTACCCTTAACAATACAGAATTTTGGAAAGCTTTGCCTGTGGAAAAATAGAAACTGGACATAAATGTGGTGAGAAGGTCAAGGAGTTGACCTTAACAAGGTCTATCCCTAACAGGAAAGAGTGCTTGTTTGCAGGCTTTGTCTTATATAAACATTTATTTCATGTGCTGTTTATAAAAGTTAATGATGGTTTACCTGAGTTAGTCTGTGGAAAGACTGTGGAAAGAAAATGTCTGCATGCAAAATGAATACCTTTCTGTAAAAACTCTATTTACAAAATTCTCTTTTCTTATTTATTAATGCCAATGTCTGTGGGTCTGATTTATGTGCTCCAGCGTCCTTGAAGCCATTATCAGCCAGGTCCATGGAACAATGTAGATGATCAATAAAATTATAGAAAACTGGAAAAATATTTCTTGGAGAGGAATCCTAGTGCTGCTTCTATGATTTATTAAATGGTACGAAGTGTGTCACTGCAGCTTCTGACAGAACGTTAACAGAAATTGTGTGTCATACTGTGTCTTCTATATTGGCTGGTGACCATAAGATGCTGAATGTTCTTCCTTGCATTCAGCAAAACAAGTAAGACTATTCATAACTTCAAATACACGGGCTGCTCTGAAAGTAACGCCTCCTACTTTATCACGTTGGCACGTATAAATTAGGGATGGTTGTTGGTGGTATGGCAGTAGAGACTGAACCTTCCCACCAGTATCGCACTACATGCTGTTGCTGTGTTTGACAGATGGCAGCAGAGGGGCAATCTCATAAAATGGTGTCTGACATGGAAATGCATATGAAGCAAAAGTGTGTCAGTGAATTTCTCTGTGCAGGAAAAATGGCACTCACTGACTTTCTCTGATACTTGCTGAACACTTGTAGAGACCAAACAGTGGATGTGAACACAGTGGGTGGTGTTTCAGCACTGGTGACACTGATGCTGGGTCACCTTTGCTGGTGCAGATTTTGAGCTCAGCATGCAGGTTCTTGTTTATTACTGGCAAATATGCACAGCTAATGGTGGTGACTATGTTGAAACGTTGTTTTGTAGCTATTTGCTCTATCAAGTAGTGTTATTGTGCTTTTTGTAGCTGTTGTAGTTTCTAAGGCTATAAATAGGAAGCATTACTTATTACTGTGTACTTAAGTAGTTACTAGCTTCAGAGGGGATTCATCAAGTGTTTAAAAACAAGTTGTTTTTTAAACAGATGTTTTGCTGATTTGTTACTGAAGTACATCAGACTTTGAAACACAGAGCCCTTGAGGAGATAAGTCATCTGTCATGGCTGAAATTTCTAGATATTTTATATTAACTTCTAAAAGGATAAGGAATATTCCTGTACAGTTTGGGCAGTGAGGATGTGTCTCCTGCGTACTTCTGGAATTCATTTTATGTAACTGGTTACTATAAACCTTTTGTGCTGTGGCTCCCTGCAGTTCCTTTTCAGCATGCGGCATGCTGTAGTTATTTGTTTTCATTATTTTATTTTATAGGCAGAGAGTTTATTCTCAGGTATTTCAGTGAGAAGCAATACAGAAATGCTGAGCAGTATGTCAACAGAGAAAATATTGGCAAGTGCAGTAAGGCTCTATGTTCATCATAAACCAACCAATGTTGGTTATGGTTTATTGGATACATGTTCATCCAAACCAACCAATTGCATATGTCTGACATGGTGAAAATTATTAGAGAATGAACATTGATTGTGTCATTTTGCATATTCCAGGCCTTTTCTTTGCCAAAACTGTGTTCTGGGCATCATTTTATGTTAGCATCAGATGAATGTGCACGGAGGTGTTGTGTGATACTAGCCCAGATTTTAAGGGTATGGAATCTGCCTTTGAAATTTAACATGTCTGTACATAACTTGCCCATATCCCCACAGCTCTGTCTCTACAAGCAGCAGAATTGTAATAGATGTGTGCAGAGGTTTTCAGATTCCTTGCCTCAAGCAAAATTAGCTAATGATATTCATTCAGATACAGAACAGTACAAATGGGGCACATTAAATGGCTTAAATTAGGTCAAATTGAATAATTGAATTTATTCTTTTACTTAAAAACAGCTTAATCAGCTGAGAGTGCTGGAGTCAGAAAAATAGTTTAATTAAATATTAATTAGAAGTTTATATTTTGAGCTTCCTTATCATTACTTGCAGCGATATCATTTATGTGTCTGTTTTTGTTCATTACAGCTACTGGGAGATGATGTTCAACCATTCTTACTTGATGAAGAATTTGATTATGACAACGTGGCACTGACCTCTAAGTTCTCTGAAGCTGAGCTGATGCCCATGTAAGAATTGTCTGAAGAGAAGGGGAGAGATGTAAAGTCCAGCAGGAGCTGAAGACTGAATCAGATGCACTCTGAATGGCATTTTGTGCAATGCTGATGAAATAGCATTCTGGAGAATAAATCTTACTTCTTGTACCCTTACTAGATGCTTTTTGTCTGCGTGGACAATAAATGACATCCTCAGGATTTTCTTTGTTCCATCAAGGTGCCTTGGAGCCTGAGGTTGGCTTTCTCTACGCCTCCTAGTCTTAGTCTGAATGAAAACACAGAATAGGAAGGTAGTGCTTGCTCAAAGCCACTTGTATAGTAGCCCTTCAGCAGTGAGGAATGTTTACCATCTTTTTATATTTTGTGCATTGATTTGCTTAGGTATTCAGGTTGACTAAGAAGGTCTCTGTCAGTCCCTAAATCCAAAGGGAGTTTTGCATAGATCAGTGGCCTCACTGTTGCTCAGCTTCTTTGTTGTTTTTGATGTGGTACGAAGCAGCTGGAAGATGTCTCAAATGAGAGCTGTGAATTCCCATTTGTTAAATAAAAAAATAATAAAGTAAAATCCCTGACTGCAGTAAAGCCCACATAGCCTCTAGGCATGCTGGAATAATTGCTCCATGAAACATAAACAAGCTGGTGTGATTCAGAATAGCAGGCATGGCTACTCTCGCTTATATTTGGTACTGACTAGCCTACAGCTAGTCCTAAAGCTGTCTTTGCTTATTTCTTTCTGTAATGTAGAGCTGAAGGAACTTTTTGCAGCTGACATGTTGGTCTATAGACTCTTTCTCTGTCACTGCAAGATTTTAAGATGTGGAGTTATACCAGTGAATAAATTTGGGGGTATATTTTTCTTTCTTCTGAGTTGCTTTAGTTCTGAGACATAAATATGCCAGGTTACCGTAAACTCTTTTGAGAGAGTTGATCAAAATTGCTGTTGTGTAACTACTGACAGTTAAACTTCCAGTGCTACAAAAATCTACCCAGACAGAAAGAAACATAGTGAATTAATCCATTAAAGAAATTGGTGTTGAGAGGCTGTCAGATTTAACTTTTTTTTTGTTTCTGAGATGATTTTAGGTACCAGCTTATGGTTTATACTCGGCATCACTGAAATTCAGCAAGCTCTGGAGATTGGTAGAATACAAGACTGTTTTGCTCCTTTGTCAGAAATTTCTAAGAGCAAAGAATGGGATGAATGAGAAATAAATTCTGGAAGAGGTCCAAGAGTAAATCCAGGAGGAGGAAATAGAAAGCTGCTCTACAAAATTAGCAAGGTCAGCCTTTGAGGGCATCAACAGAGAATCAGGGAATGCCACTTCCTTAGCATAGGTACTTATTGTAAATAAAGTAAATACAGTAAAGAATCTTTAGTTTAAGAAAGCTCTGTACAGTCTGTCATTTTGAAAACGAATCAACCTTAAAGATGGGCTTTTGTGAGTTCACAAAATGACTGATGATGAATTTGGCACTCTTTACATATATATTTCTAGAAAAGTATGAAGTACAAATCTATAGATAAGTTGTGTTGGAGTTCTGTTGTCACTATAGTCAGTGATGACTTATCCAGGAGTTCATAATGATCTTCAGGCCAAATCAGCTCTGGAAACTAAGTGCATTTCCTATTCATTTCATTAACAATCTTTTTCTGTACATGAGGGAGACATTCAGCCATTCAGTTCCTCCTCTCACAGGCAGATGATTCTCTTACCAAATGTTCAGAGTGCCTATTAAGCTCAATAAGTGTCATTCAGTATACTCATTATATGGTTCCATTAGATATAAAGAAACACTGCTGCAGAATCCCCAACAAAATGGGAACTCTGGTAACATTCATCCTAAGCAGAGAAATTAGGATAATTTACTTAAATTTACATTACTTTTTGCTCTTTTTTGCTCTTTGTTAGCAGAGACAGATATGATAATCTCCACCACAGTGGAGATTAGCCAGTGTAGGCTACCTTTTTCAAGTGTGACATATTGGCTTTATTGGATATACTGATGGTTGTTTTTGGCTTGTAACTTTTAACTGACTATCCTTCACAGAGAAGGCCTGTTTTCCTTTTCTCCATTACCAAATCATCATTTTAAAAAATGTACTTGATTTGCATTTTAGATTTTATACATATACATGGAGTTAGTTACCTGGATTTGTATCTATATTTCTGTGGTGTTTTGTAATCTGAATAATATGTATTTTTCCTCTTTATTATTTTAGGCATTCAGCATGGTAAGGTACACCCTCCTTTCCTGTTTATGGTTTTTCTAAACACTTTTCCAGTTTTCGAAATCATTAAGGGTAAAAACTCACAATGGAAAAGGAAAGTGTGTGCTTCCTGGAGTCAGCTTTGTGATGATTGCAGTAGGGAGTGGGTCTGGCTTTCTAACTCAGTGAAAGAAGTGTAAAATCTCTGATGTTGGGTGAATTCATAGGAAATAAAGGCTGTGTGATGGAACTTTCTAATCCCTCTGTATTCATGATTTCACTGATGTCTGAGATGCAGCAGAAATATGCACCTATCTCAGCCAGTGACCTGATCAGCTGTGAACTTTTTGCTTATTGAGGTGCTACCAGAAAGACTGCTTCCTACTTCAGTCTTGATAGATCCTGAGTCATGAGGACGAACTCTGAGTTTTATGAGAAGTTAGTACTACTTTCACTGGGTCAGAATTCTGAAGGGTTGTTTCCTCAGATGGTAATGGTCCAAGCATAGATATTAATGCTCTGAATTGCTTCTTGTGGGTGTAAAGGGAAAAGTAATTATTTGATGAGATAATGGCTTTGAAAGCATAAGATAAAAATTGAGGAAGTGAGAAGAGCTGCAGACAGATCTATCTGATTCAGACATCATTATGGTTCTAAATATATTTCTGTTAATGCACAAAGGTATCATTAAATACACTTGTATATATACACAGTGCCACTGAAAGAAAATAATTTCAGTATGGAGAGTACTCACCAGATAATTCAGAACCTTTTGAAGAAGGTGGCATGGAAACAAATCCCTGCTCTTATGGAAAAGACTCTTTGATCCTCTGGCCTTGATTTTCTGCTGCTGTAAACTGGCAGGGTTCCACTGAGGCCATTTGTGTTCATGTAGCAGGCAGGATCCTGGTATTTACAGCTTTCTTAGCTGAAAGAATACAAAACCAAATCAATTGCTGATTTAACTCTGCTCGATGCAAGGCAATATATACAGACCACTATCTTTATGAGAAAATATTCAAAGAGACAATGCAAACTAAATGTAAAAAACATATTTTAAATTGTTTGGTTACTAATTTTACGCAAGTCATTTTGGCATTTCTCTAGTGGTGTGTGCTTAGAACATTGTTTTTGCATTGATAAAAATATCAGATGCACTTTCAAGTCATGTTCAAATAGTGAAACTTGATTATATATGTAACTACTAAGCAATCCCACTTCCTTTGAAATTTTTTGCCCTCTGCATCTTGGTGAGGAGTAGAAACAGACTTAGCTTTATCTCAAACTTGTTTTAAAATGGTCTGCTGTCCTTTGTGAAAACATGTATTTTATATAAAGGAGGATTCTCTCCGTCTGTAGGAGAACACTAACTTCAAATTCCTGATTATTCAGAGACTGCATGCATGTCATGATGTGGTTCAGTGGCCACGCAGTATCAATGGGACACTTGCATAGCAGGCTGATTTGTATCCCGTTCTTCCCTACCCTTGGTTTTACTCAGCAGTGTAAGCACTACCTTGGGAAATAGGAAGGCAGTGACTGGGAAGGCTGAGGCAGGGGTTCGTTAGCCCTGTTTGCTTGCTGTGGCTGTGCTGAGATGTCTCACAGCCCTTCTCCGCAGGCTGCAGCTCAGCTGGGGCTCTCTCAGGCCACCCCCAGTGAGGAAACCCCCAGCAAGGGATCTCACTGGCCTCCAGTTCCCTGCACCGCAGAGCTGAGTGCTTACACTAGCTCAGGGCATTCCCACTGCGGTGTGCTTTCTTGTGGCAAGGTGTCAGTTGGTGCAGGTGGGTCTGAGGTGCAGCATGTGTCCTGGACTGTGCTGGGAGGGACAGGTCCTCCCCACACTCCTCCTGGGCGCTCCCAGGTGCTATGTTTGCCAATCCCCCTGGGAAAACGGAGCCGACAGTTTTCTCTTGGTTGAAATGGTACTGATTAAGTTCACCTTGAAAGACTGAGCATTAAGGGCTCTTTGAAAGGTGATGAGAACACTGAGTTTGTGACTGCTGGCAGTTGGAAGTGATGCATTGTATTTTGCTGGCAAGGTACTGTAAGCCAGTGGTGCAGGTGTACAAGCTGTGAAAAGCCACGGAGTTAGAACAGAGATCATTTTACTGCTTGTTTATGAGAAGTTTGCAAGAAGAAAAGCAAGTATTAGAAAGCACTGTCATTTGTATAGACAAGGCTAGTTTATTTGCAATTGCAGTGCCCGACAGTTAAAATGGAAATCAATTTTAATGCCTTATGAAAATGCAGAAATATTTGTCTCATTTACAGCACTTCCAAAGAGGACAGATAATAAAATTCCCCTGATTAACAATCTATAATTTTATGTGCTCTGTGGTGTCTAGTTCAGAACATCTATCCACATAAACATGCTTCAAAATAATAAGCAAAGATAGATCTGAACAAACTCCCTAAATCTAACTTCACTCTGAATTCCAGGCTGTAGTAGCTCTCTCTGTATATTCAAGGCCCTCCCTGATCTGAATATCCCCAAGCTTTGAGCAAATAGATACTTTACTTTAAAAATCTCTAACCAAACATTCCTCAAGCAACCATTTAGCATCTGTTTGGACTACAAACAAAAGCCCCAAAGCAGTTGGGGACCTGCCTGTATGAAAAGAACCTGAGAACACCATTAGAATTACTGCATTATACAGGGAGATAATAGTATTCTAAAGAGTAGAATTAAATGGAAAAAGATATTTTTCAGGAGAGTGATCTATACTAAAATATTTTATTGGCTTGATAAAATTCTTGAGAACCTTTCAATGCACAATTGAGAAATGAGTGTAGTCATTCAGTAATTCATGTGGATTTACAACAGCTATCTCTCGAGCAATTAAAATGAGATTAAAAAATGTGTGGGATTCTTCAGTGTACTTTGTGGCAATTCTAACACCATAAATTAAGGCTTTAGCCTCATTATGTCATATGTTACTACAGAATTCGTTCTTTTGTGGCTGCTGTGGTTGAGTATTGGGGCAGCACTGTTTCTGGAGTGCAGGTGTGTACTTGCAGCAAGTAGACCTCACTTTCAGTAAGCTTTCTTGAACCCATCTGCTTTTCTGTGCATTTGTATAAAGCCTTGTAATATGCATTACGATACGCATAATTCTTAGAAAGAGGCTACATTTATTATGTTGCTAATGCTCCTCAGAATAACTTTGCTAGAGGACAAATTTTGCCTGTTACTTGGAAGTGTTAACTCTGCTGCTTGGATTTGCTGAATTTTATATATTTGTTCTTTGAGGGAGAAATGTTGAAATACATTTTTTTCATCCTCTCTTCCTTATTTTTTATTTTGTCTTTCTTCCACAAGATTTACAACTGGCTTCCCGGCACTTGACAAGATACTACATTAATCCAATGAGCTACTTTCCTGTTGGATAAAATTTCACTGTAAAAAAGATGGAAGGCTGCTGCTTGGGCCAGGAAACATCAAAGCACCGTTAGCATTTCACACACCGCCTTAGCATTTGCAAAGCTTTCAAAAACAAACAATCAGTAAAATACAAATGATGGTCAGCCAGCAAACTGAATGAGAATTTAATTCCAAATTGCCTTTGTTTAAGTCAGCTGCCTGCAAGTCAGTTCCTCTGCCCACCAACGATTCTGTTAACTAACATATTTCAAAATCCAGACTGTCAAAAATATTGACAGCTAGCACAAGCTGAGTAGCATTTTCTGCAGCAGAACTGTGATCTGTTTAAGGCTCTTTGTTTGGGGTTGTGAAACACTTCTTGAATTCTGCAGATTTATTTGCCATGCACGAACATTAATAACATAAACTGTAAAAAGAAAAATAATGGCTCAGTGGATATCTTCCTGCTGAAAGCAGGGAGAAGAGAGCTGATGGGAAGAGAGGTTGTCTGAACAGCCAAATATTGCCTGTGAATGTGACATTTCATGTCTTGCTTTTCATTCTTTTGCAATATTAGTATGAGAATCCTGGTTATCAGAAGAGTTGGCTGAATAACACTCTTTTTCAGACACCCAAACCCAGATTTATGAATATATTGGTGAATCAGCCATCCAAATTCAGATGGTTATTATTCCAAGAGTAATAGTATCACTCAGGCTGTATTTTACAAGGTGCTTGCAGCTGAGGGCATTTCCCAGTTGGAAGTATTCAGTCCTGATCACAAATGTTTGAATAAATGTTTATCTGGTATTGCTTATTCTCCTATAATTCTCAAAATTTCATTTTGTTCTTTTGATACTTTTCACTTGCTGCCCCAGAACCAAGAGGTCAAAGTCAACCTTCAAAGATAATATTGAAAAAAAATACCTTGGAGTGCTCTAAACAGAAGTGATGAAATCAAAAACGAAATAAAATGAAATGATGTTAGGTTTAGGAGGATTGCTGAAATTGATGCCTACTAAATTTGGGAAGTAATTCTGAAATTGGTGGAGCTCATTTGCTAAGGGCAATTAAAAAACGTCTGAAAAAATATTGGAGACTATACTATAGTATAGTCTGCATCAGACAGCAACTGGATTTGATTAATATTTTCCCTCTAAGGCTTGGTATACATGAGAATGAATGGCTGGTGTCTGAAAGAATTTTACTTGTTAAGACTTGGGATTTCAGTTCTTATAATTGAAAAAGACTGCTTCGATATATTGATGCAGGTTCAGTCTGACTGTTTGAGTTCCAGAGCATCTCTACAAGCTCTTGATTTGTACACAGCCTGGACTGTCAATTTGTTATGCGTCACTGCCAGCGTTTGTGCAAATGGGAAAAGATATATTATTCAAATATTTTGCTGTTCTGAACAACTTAGTTACATTAAAATTGCACAGCAAGATAACAGAATAACAGAATTGGCTTTTCCCCCCTGCTTTTAAAAAAGCTTCATTTGGAAGCAAACTTGAGGCGGAATTTTGGATCAGAACCACATTAGTGTTTTGAGAAAACCTGTATCTGCATGTAGCTCTATCTGATGACATTGTGGCTCAGCTTTAAGCTCTCTGCCTAAGTAAACGACATCACTCTTGATCTTATTTTGGAATATACAAGGCTAAGCTTTTTCTGGAATCCAAAAATGCCATCAAGTTAATATTCGCAGAGCATGCTTTTTTTACTCTTTATTCTTCTTGCCCTTATAAATCTTAACTGCTACACTATATTGCAATCAATATCAGATAATACATAGAGAACAGGATATAGCATTGCCACATTTTTCAGCAGGAGTGGGGAACCTTCTGCTGGCCAAGAGCTGAAGAGGCCATTGAAATGCCTTTAGTTGGCC